TGGCTGTGTGTGTGTGTACTTCCGGTTCGTTGCATCCACCAACACCAGCACACCTGCCTCCCATGCATTTCATTTCAAATACTCAGATATACATAGGTAGGTTGCAAATGTGGCAAGGTGCAGCTAGCACGCAATTGGAAATTGCTCAGTTCACTCTTTTTTTCACTGGCTTGGTATTTTGCATGTCTTGCGGCTTCTCGCGCTTATGAAAATTCACGTTAGGTCCCCGAAAACGCAATCACGTGCAGTGGAAAAGGGGGTGCTGCAAAAGACAAAAGTGTGCCACCTACCCACACCTCAATTATGTTTAAATATTGTTTCGCAGCACAATTATTTTATAGACCTTTTTTTGCTCGCTGTAAAAAAGATAGTATCGGACCAAGAGAAATTTGATTTATTCAACTCTTGTTGAAAGGATTTCCGCAACATTTTTTATAATCATTTTATTGGCAATAATGAACGAATCGATTCGCTCGTAATTGATAAATTGGCATACATTTTTCACAATGCTTTTCCTGTACAAGTAAACGAATTGATTTTTTACATACAAAAATGCAAGTGGTTTTATTTGTATATTGTCCTGATTTTTATGAACTAAAATGAATACATATTCTAATTGCTATTGTAAGCAACTGCAAATGCATGCAAAAATGGAAAATACTACAAGACCTTATTAAGTAATAATGTATTTGACCGGTTTTTTATCTAATTTAATAAGATGTTCTTCATATTTTATATATAAATTTTATATTTTGAAAGATTTTACAAATTTGTTTTATCATTTAGGAGCCCAAATCTTTTCCCATTGTCATAGTAATAATTTTTACCAGTCTCACTATTCCTATGACACTTTTAATCATTATAGTTTTCATTTAGGAGTTAAAATCTTTTTCTATTGTCATAGTAATAAGATTTAGCAGACTCACTATTCCTATGGCACTTTAAATAAATCCTGAGCCACAAACCGAGAATCAATCTGAAATTTATGGGCTACCGACTCCGCCAAGCCCGCAGCTGCGGAGTGGGGACATTCGAGCCTTGCTTAGCATACTTATTGGGGCATTTTGCGGTGATGCATTTGCGCCAGTGGCACCCACACAGGACGCACACATCCGTGCACCCGTAGCCATTTGCATCTGCGTGGATGTATTAAACATGAGGCAAATGAAAAGCGGAAGTGCCAACCAGGCGGCGAGCGATTTTCGCGGTCTCTTTGGACGTTGCCAGAAGTCAGTGCGGAAAATGAAGGAAAACACAGCCCACCGCGAGGCACCGCCATTTGTGGTAGCATTTTGTCCCCCTTCCGCATGCATTACGCATGCAAAGAATGCAACGAGGAGCGTGCCACAAGCAAGGAAGGGAGGAGGAGTGGGTGGGCAAAGAGGATTCCCCCTTCGAGGGCGGGATCTCCGGCGACTGTTTGAAATTCATGACTTGTTTAGTGCACATGCCGCATAATGTTGCATACATTTCGAGCGGTTGGCGGCAGTGCCGCGGGTATATTGCAGCTGCCTCTATTTGCTGTTTTTGCCGCTGTTATTACCGCTCCTGTTGCTGCTGTTGTTGGTATTGTTTCCAAATGAGAAGTACCGCACAAATATGCAAGCAAATGCAACGAAATATTTGGAAGCTGCATTGCAAAATTATAATGCGATGAAAGGGAAAAAGAATAAGCAACTAAATGAATTCGATTCCTTTCTTCATATTTATTTATTTAATTTTTAGTAACTAAAAAAAGCAAATAATAATTTATTTGGAGTATGAAAAAAATGAACTCCGTATAAAAATTAAAAGTATAATTTATATAAAAGGAAATTAAATTTATTTTCTTACATTAATCCCAAGAAAAGTGAGTTTGGTATGGCACGCACTGTTGGCAGTTGCACACACTTAAGGCAACATGGGCACTTCAGTATTTGGGTAATATTTATGCATTTTCACATAACTGCCATGCATGAGTGTGCGTAAGATGTGCATTCATGGCTTCGACTTGTTTTGCATGCTAATTGGCTTTGGCTTTGAGTGAAAGAGATAGAATTGCCAGCCGAGACAAAAACAAAGTACATGAGTCTGGAGCAGTTGTAAACCGAAACCCTCGCACTTGATTATGTGCCAAATTGGTTCACAGTGCTTCGTGATCAACGCATTTAAATTAAACATTATTTTGTATGTCACTTTAATCGATTTAGTCTAGTAATCGCTTTACATTTTAATCTATTTAATGTATTTTTGTTTTAATAAATTTGAATATTTATGTTTGCTTCGCAAATAAAACAAAAGTAATTAATAACCGAAGCCAATGTAAACTTATCCTGTAAAATATTTTTCCAGCTCCGCACAAAAGTATGCAGCTGTGCAAAAATGTAGTTTTGATTTGATAAGATTTTCTCAAAACTCAAAGTGTTTTATTTGGTATTGGGGAATACCGAGGGAATCTTGTTGCTTAATTCAATGCAGGCACTGGGTGGTTCGCAATCATTTGTTTCCTCCGTTGACCCCAACAGTTCCTGAACCCTTTCTGGCCTAATGGCACTCTGCATATTTCATCTTATTAAGTGCCAAAACAACGCATAATCAACATTCATGTACCCCATGCCAATTCAGAGCAACAATTGAGTGGAAAATTCTGCATGCCTAAATGTTACCCGATCATCAATGCAACGGGACTAGTTAGGTTCCCAATGGCTTTCCATGGCCTTCCCCGTTTAACCTTCCCCTTCCCTTTTCCACCCATCGAGTGCACTAATTATACAGCTAAACAATTTCGTATTTCGGGGAGCATTTGTTTATGCAACTAAGCGAACTTTGTTCTGCTCTGCACGGAGAGATAAATGCTTCAAATTGGTTGCGTAAACATTTGCTATTCTGGTTAGATCAAAGCTGTAGCTTTCTACCTACATATATGTTGGTATTGTTTAAGTATAATAAGCTAAATTGGAGACAATAATCACGAGCGATTATAAGGTTTCATTTAAAAGTAACATCTACATATTAAATACCAACCTATAATACAAAAAAAATTTAAGATCATAAAATTAATTATGTTTTAATCATGAATGTAATATTCTCTAAAATTGCCGTCCTTCAGTCAAAAATATTAATTTTGCCTTCCTGCTTTAAAAATTTTTGTTTCCCTTAAATTTGGACAGTGCATTTTTAGATAAAACTTATTTATTACGCCGATGCTGACAGGAAATATAAATTATTCTAGTCTCCACTCATTTATTGGGTTTGTTAGGAACAATTTTAGTACACATAAAGTTTGTTATGAAATTATCTGTTGCTCTGACTAAAGACAAAAATGCAACTCGTTGATATATATTTTGAACATAGAACAGTGAGAGATTACTTAAAGCAAACGTACATTTTCGAGTGATGAATTGCTGTCAGTTGTGATTAATAATTTCCGTTGTAATTCTTCTAAGCAAAAATAAAGTGCAGGCAGCAACAATTACTCGATTATAATGACAGCCAGCGGGGGTTGGTAATCCCCAGAGATTAGCACATACCATAAATTCATTAGGGTCCGAATAATCCATTCTTCACAAAGATGTTCATACATTACCTCAGACACTGGCAACGAACTGAATCAGTTTTCCTTGGAAATTCTAGCTCGAATCATTTACCCTGAGAATTTCGCTTGGAATGCAGTTATGAATTTATTTATGACTCTAATTCTCCGAATGCTCAGCTTGTGTCTCCCTCACCTTTGTCTTTCCTAGCTCTGTAATCCTTTTGGAATTTTATTTGCTTCCATATACATATTTAAAGATTTGCACTGGCACCACCCAAAATAGAAAAGCCAAAAATATATCTTCTACCGGTTTGGCAATGTGCAACACTTTCATGGTGAGACCATTAATTTGCAAACTAGCCAAATCACAGAAATTTTATTATAAACAAAATAATGGGCTGCATTGTAATTAAAAGGAATTCATTGCTAAAGATCCAGTGAAAAACTGAATTTTGGATCGAACACGTGATTATTAATCTATATGTGTATTTTGTTGTATATTTTTTAAACAAAATTCTTTTACTCTTACTAGCTTCTAAAATATATTTGCCTTTGTTGAAATTTTGAAAAATAATTATTTTCCTTGACAAAAAATCACTAAAATTTTATAGATTTGAGCTATTTGCGCCTGCAGGTTTGTGTTCTCCCCCAAGATGCTTTAACTTTTTGTGGATATTGGTCGCGGTTTGGGTGGTCTAAACTTTTTATATCTTTTTCGCCCATTTCTCAATCAAATGTTTATAAAGCAAAAATAAGTTGAACATATATAAGTACATTACCATTTGCGAAATTTATCTGATTGAGTAATTGGTATTTTTGGAAAGCATAGTTGCAAAAACCTAATCGAAAATAAAATACAGAAAACAGGAACATTTGTATGATTTGCTTCAATTATAATGGTAGCTAGCTTTCTGTGGAATGCTTAAAATATGTTTTATGTTCTAGTCTTTCAATTAATTGAAATTGAATTGTTCGCCAATGTTCAATTTCGTTTACCACTTAATAAAATAATTTTAAATGAGGACTGATAAATATCAATTTTTAAATAGGTAATCCAAAGTTATTACTCTTTATTTAACCTAGTGTAAAGTATATAGGTAAGCATTTAATTAATGTATATGGTAGGGTATTTGAAGACATGAAGTTCCATTATGAGCTGCAAAATTTGCCTTCCTTACCCGATTCAAAATTATGTCATTATTAATATCGACTTTCGCTTCGTCATTATCTGGCCGGTCTCTTGAATTTGAAGAGAGAAGCGTAGCGTCAAATGACCGGTTAGGGAACCTTATCTAGATTTTTTGTTGGGGCTTTTTGCTTTGGCTGCCTATCATTTATTTTTCTTTCACACTGATAAAATGTGAGAAAGAAAAACCGCGGCTGTTGGCGCAGCGTACAATTGATTGAAGTCCGACGTCGACGTCGGCGTTGCCGTCGCTATATAATGATCATCGGGTTTAGGTTCTCCCGTTCGAGTTCGGGATCGTTGGGATCAGTCTTTGGGACGCGCGGTTGCCGTAAAGATCGTGGCGAAGTACTGTTCTATATCTTAAGTTTCGCGAGCCTCTGTTTGTGGTAAATCTAAACTAAACATATTAAAGACCTTGTGTAATACTAATATTTTCTGCAGTAAAAGTGCAGCAATGAACAAAAAAGTCATACATAATAAACATAAAAAAAACGCTTACTATATCTGTTTAAAACAAATTGATTAAGCGCATTAAATGATATGCAATACAAACAGAAAACAAGGGAATGGGTGAAAAAAAAAACATGAGAGAAAATTGATTCGTTTATGCAAGCTCAGCATACTTAATCTATGAATATTCCCCCATGTCAAGCCACTAAAAATAACAAAACTCGAAACGGGCTGAACGTTTAAATATGTATTTAAACCTCTTTGTTGTGTTTGCTTATTGGTGAAAAATTCAGTTTGGTGAATGGAAAGCAGAGAAATATGAAAATAACGTGTGAAGTATTTAAAGATATGGCCCAACAGCTGATTTTTTATTTTAATCGCATGTTTATTTTACTCATTAACTTCAGCTCTCTTAAATGTGTCTCTTGATTTTATCTATATGTGCTAGAGAGTGGATATCAAATGGACGTATGTATATTACAAAATCAGAATATTATGTTCAGACTACCCGCAGACTTTGCTCTTTTAATGGTCTTTTGTTGTTTATTGCAATCTTTCGACAAAGAACACATTTATCTCTGAACTTGAAAATAATTTTGTTTGTTTATTAAGCCCGGTTGCGTTCGATTTTCACACACTTAGTTGTTGTTTTAGTAGACTGTTTTCTGGAAATAGACACGGTTAATTGTTGTTTAAAATATATAGTAAACTGTATTCTTGAACAAAAAAATCTCATCTTTTTTATCAGTTTAAGAACGGTGGCTTAAAATTATATATACTTAGTTTTTTTACCCTTGCAGAGCAAAGGGTATTATAGTTTCAGTCAGAAGTTTGCAACGCAGTGAAGGAGACACCTCAGACCCCATAAAGTGTATATATTCTTGATCAGCATCACGATCAGAATCCAAATACGTCTGTACGTCAGTTCGTCTGTCCGTCTGTCTGTAAAGTAGTCTCTCAGTTTTTAAGCTATCTGGCTGAAAGATTCCCAAAAGTTGTGTAGTTATTGCACGCAGTATATAAGTCAGACGGGCCGGATCGGCCAAACTATATCGGCTAGCTCCCATACGAGAGAATGAAATAAAAAATTCTCAGGCGGTTGTTTTTGATCAGATCCACTTGATTTCTTTCAGATGGCGTTTTCTAGCTACTATTGAATTTCGGATTAAATTTTATCAAAATCGGATAACTCTATCATATAGCTGCCATAGGAAAGATCAAAAAATATATATAGAATTAATGGAAATAAATTGATAACATCGTTGTTTTTTATCCCACGACAACGACTTTTAAAACATCAAGTTTTTTAAGTACCCTTGAAACGAAAAAAAATTTAATAAAATCCGACAACGTTATCATATAGCTGTCATAGGAAAGATCGAACAGACATGATTTTTATATAGAGTTCTCTAACGACTCTTAAATTACGAATTAAACTTGATCAAAATCAGATAACCATATCATATAGCTGCCATATAAACAATAGTCGAAATTATGGAAAATTAGTGAAAAAAATCGATGTTGAATGATCCTGAATGTATTTTGTTCGACATATTTGATGACTGTAAGGGTAGATAAACTTAGGCTTGCCAAAGCTAGCTTCCTTTCCTTTTTGAAATCAAAGCTCCAGAGTGTTTTTTAATTAAGTTTGTTTGTAGTGTTATTTTGATACCAAAGTCCGGGGCTTAATCGCGCAGTTAAATATTAAATTTACACTACAAATGTCTCAGAAAGACACTATGAAAATGTTAACAAAAGATTCTTATTTAAATGCAATGCAATATGCTAAGTGCAATTTAATACTAGAATTCACAATCGCGAAAGTATAATGTTAACTCTCTCAGCGATCTCAATAGGATCAAAATGATAGCGGCTTGAGAATTTTTTTTTAAAGATATTGCGTAATTTATAACTTAGCATATGATTCATAAATAGAAGTAAAAAAAATTTAATTGGGTCTGACGAAACACTTAAGAGATCCATAAAGATTGTACGTACTTCGATTGCACATTTCCAAGTCATTCATACGTCCGATTAATTCTGTTAATAACTTTTTACTATCGGTCAGATGTACTAAAGCCCGAGGTAGTTCAAGCCAACTGAAAGCATATTATTCACTTCCTTGCCCTGACCGATAAATATTGAGATTATTCAGGGACTTTCCTATAATTTTATTACAGCTTAAATTGACTACTGTACTGATACTGATAGTACAGCAATGAATGAATAATGCCAACAAGAGTTATCAACAGTTTAATTCAAGGCTACCACTTTCGTACATTCATTTATTGAAAAGCCGATGTCACGTGCCAAATAAATTCTCTATCGAATATGAACAGGCGTCCTTACTATTTTCTTTTAATTGGAAGACAAATTATTGATAAGTTGGCGTAGTAGTGGCCGTGTAGGAATTGACTTTGATGGATTCATCAACTAGATGACTTTCATAGCTATGGATGTGCGCATCAAAGGTATCCTGTAGATAGGAAAAATAACTTAGTATTTATACAAATAATACATGATATACCAAAGCATGTAAGTAAGATACTCACTGCTCCCAAAAAATTATTGCGATATTCAGTCTCGGCTTTCAAAAAAGCTGCCACGCCCTCATTCACTTCGGATCTATTCTTCGAACCAAAATGTGAATCAATATCCTCGTTAGTTACTGGTCGGGGACGCCTTGACTTTCCGTCATTAGAACGGTTCTTAGAATCCTTTTCTCGGCTGCGCGGCTCGACTTTTTCTTTTAGAATCTTCTTACGCTCGTAGTCGATACGCAACTTAATGGCTTCAATCATTGTAATGGGATCCACGGGAATCGGCTTATTCGGAATGGCTCCTGCAAAGGATATCTCCCTGGCATACACGTTGAAATCCTCCCGTCCGTCGAGACTCGCTTGAATGACGCCGGGGCAAAAACGATCCTTTACCAAAGTCTCGAGGAAATCGTTTTGAATGCGCTCGGTTAAGCGGTCCTCACCTTTTTTGAGGATATGAACCAATCAAGATAACATATACACAAATCCTACAAATAGGAAAACAACATACGGGGTTTTATGTGCATTCGCATAGAACGTCCTCCAAAAGATGAATTTCCATTAGATTTGTCAAATGATGTTTGCTGCAGAGCTGGTTTTTTTTAAATGTGTACACAAACTGATTCATCTTACATTTATGCAGGACCTTCCTGACAAACAAGACTGATTTCTTGAGGAAGACGTGTTTCCACGTTGGGAAAAGCTTTGGTTTTCTTCCGTGCTTTCCTTACAGGCCGAAGATCCTTTACCACAACAGCTTTTTTGACCAGATTGTTGGCAACATCCTGAATTACTTGTGCACTCTGGCGGCAGGTAACTTGTTTTATTGAGTGTCGTTTCGTGCTGTTTTGTGAAGGAATTTGAGTTTAAGTGGGTCTTAAATAATTCATTTAAATATTTAACTAACCAGTGTTTGGCCTCTATGTGATTGTGGTGATTCGCACTGTCAACCAAGTTTAATTAAAAGATCATCCATAAAGATGGCAATATATTATATTATGACCACTTACCTCTGTTTGCGTATGTTGCATTTCCCGAGTTCGTTCGAAATCGCACATTGTTTTAGCCTTCATTATGAATGAATATTTAATGTAGTGCCGTATAATTATCAATCTTTAATTACTTACATTTTCTGACCTGCGGCTTGTGTCGCACATCTGGTTAGAAGACATATTTTGATTTTTGGATCGCTGCTGTGGGCAACTTCTTACAGATTGCTGGCGACGTTCGTCTTGAACTATTGTCGTACTATTAAGACCTGGTTCCTGTTACATAGTCGAGATATGTCAGCATTATTTTCCCGGCTTTCACTTGCGGTAACTTACAAATATAATCGAATCGTCACTTTCCAAACAAGAATTATTGGATGTCTTTTGCTGACATGACTGCTCTTGCCGCTGTCGCCGTCGCTGAATCTCTTGTAATACCTCATTACGCCTCCGAAACTCGCCATAGTTCATGCCAACTTGAGAGGTATTGTAACAATCGTGTGGGGTGTTATTCCTTGAAGGGTTCGTTGAATAGTGGTTATCGCCTGGGTCATTCAAATCGCACTTTAATGTGTAAAGATAAGTGGATTACATTTCATAATTGTAACAACGTATTCTATCTATGACTCACCGTTGTACAAGCACTATTTGGGTTCGTAGGTCCCCTTCTCATTGTTTTCTGTGATTGATTCCTATCAGATATTATTTCTTTAATCCGTGCTACTTACGATGTGCGAAGTGTGATGGCAATCAGAGCTATCAGTTTTATTCGGTCTGGGGGCGCTTTGGGATCGAGAAGCAGTACGCTTTGATGAACTCTGTTCATTCGGGAAAGGCTGAATGCTGGGGCATTGTTCTTGCTGAAAAAGTAAACTTTTAACTGGACACTCTGGCAAATTGCTACATTGCTTTATTGCAGGAGTAGAAAAGTATAGTTTAACAGAAGAACATGATATTACTCACATATTCGTCTTCGCCATTACAACGGCTTGGGAACTGTGAAGCAAGTTTATAGTTTATGAAACAAAAGCTTTGATGTTTTTACCCCTTTCTGTGTCATTAACGAGCAATTCTGCCTGCCACCATTGAATGTGGATTGACTACATGGTTCATCCGGCGGTTTGCAGGAGTTAAGCATCATTGGGAACCGAGTGACAGTTGGACAGGGATCGTAGGTTTCCTCGTCGCTTGAGCAATGAGTCTTGCAGGATTCGTTGTGGCAAGGATTTTGCTGATGCTCTGTTGTTGCTTCGCTCAGACCCCTTTGGTATCCCAGAAAGCGACTGAAGGCCAAAAAGAGCTCATCGGGAACCAGAAAGGAATTTCTAACGATGGTCACTTAATAAGCTTTCCGTTCAAACAAACAAAATCATACTTACAGACAATCTATTTTGACGAATAGCTAATACCGTTAAATTGAAAAATATAATACGCAATTTAGAGGTTGAACCGCGATGTGTGCGTGTTAATACTAGGCTGCCAGTGTATTGCTGTAAATAAAAAAAACTTCGATGGAGTGTAAAAAATTTACATGGTATCAAAAGTGACAATAGATTTTTTTTTGATTTTTTGAGTGTATTTGACCAGGAAGTGTGATGCTAAAGTCAAATTTTCCATTTTAACCAAGTATTGATCGCAATATTAATATAGATTTGAAACAGACAACACAAGTAATAATCATAAAACAATAGTTGCAAATTATTTTTTTAATATAAATGTATAATCAATTTTATTTAAAAGTATTTTAAATATAATATATTTTCTTTGGCTAAATACATTTAATGTTTTTATATATGAATTGAAGTACATTTTTTGCGGAACTTATATATACATATGTAATTGGATGTTTTCCTCAGACAAATAAATCGAAATATCTGTGCCTAAGGAAGTATCCCTTTCCCCATCACACTAGATTCACTTAATTCGCCATTATGCGGGCGCTATCGTCAGCAATCAGATCAGATGCACCATCCATTATCCTGCTGCCGTAATCCCTCATCGCTGTCATCTCTCCGGTGCTCGCTTCCGTTTGTTCATTAGGCAAATGCAGCAGTTTCAGCTCGACAAACGCCGAATCGTTTGTCTCAGCCGTATCCGTATCCGCACTTGCATCCGCATTCGCATCCGCATCCGCATCCCTGTCATCCGTGTTTGTCAGTCGAAAGGCAGGACATCCGCCACAGGCCCGCTCCAAGTGGGCGGTCAGCTGGGCGAGGAATGTGGGCGTGGCATGTGCGTTACGCGTGAAATCCAATTGCCGCAAACTGGTCGCCTGGGCGGCCAAAAAGGGGAGGAGGGAGCGCACCGCCCGCGGTCCCTGCGGCATCCACTTGACGCTCCCGTCCGCCACGTCATAGTGCACCGTCAGCTGCGAGTGCCAGGCAAAGTATTGCAGCCGGAATGCCTCCCCGACGGCCTCCACTGGCAGCCTGTCATCCAGGCGACACTGCAACCGGAGACCCACAATCCGATAGTTGCGCCCCCGAATTTGCTGCAGGCACACGGACAAAGTTCCCATTGCACTCGCACTGGCATTCGCATTCGCTTTGCCACATTCGTCCAGGTGGTCCAGGTGGTAACTCGAATTTAGACACAGAAAAGCCGTCAATTGGCGGAGTCGAGGCAGTTGAAAGATCTCCTCAGAGCTGGCGTTTACCATACAGGCTGGCAATTTCAGGGTTTCCAGGTCTCTGGGAAACCGGCACTTCAATCGGTTGCAATTCCAGTGCGACCGCAGCTCAAATGCTCTGAGGTTGGGGAGCTCCTTAAAGAGTAAATCCAAATCTTGGGGTGTTAGGTCCTCTCCTTCGCCCAGTTTCAGGTCCACCAAATTGGGGCACACGTGGGGCAGCTCTCTCGCCACCAAGGTATCGCATTTGGTGAACGAAAGCCTGCGCAAGTGGGCGAGGCCTTGCCGCTTCCGTTTAAGCCACTTCCGGCAACCTTCGCCGGTGCCCGGCAGGTTGATTAAGCCCCTTGTCCGCTGGCCTAAGTAATCCAATAGCCGAGCCTGCTCATCGGGTTTCAGCAGCTTTAAGTGCGGCTCCCGGCCAAAATCAAACTGCTCCGCATATCTGCTGCTCCACAAGCGAAGTACCGACCCAGATAGCCGCTCCTCCTGCAGCTCCATCAATCTCAGCTGGTCCCCCAGCGAAAGATGCTCGCAAATCAGCAGCAGACAGTAGTCGTTCAGCGCCATTAGGCCGCAATTTACGGGCGGCTCTGAATGGCGATGGCCTATGGTTATGGCCGTCCTGAATCGCATCCCACTCGATCTGCTGCCGCTGAGCAAGACCGACAGACTGAGCAGGAAGCGCGTGGCATGTGTCTGCCCGATTTCTGAGCTATATATGGTGTGTCCGATGTCTGTCTGAACCCCCGTTGCGGCTGAATCAGTGTCGCCTTCGGCGGTTGCAAACAATCGCAGCTGGCGGTGCGTGCAACCAGCGCATGTGTTCCCGATTATACAGATCTCATGGCACAGTGGGTCGAACGGTGACCAAAAGTGCTTAAAAACTATGTACCTTCAAAAAAAGAGATATAAAATTAAATTGGAAATAACTTACAAACACATTCTTTATTTACTTTACTTGAAAATGATATTAAATTTTTTTTATTATTATCAAAACAAGGCTTGAATGTAATTATAGCTTTTTGGTTAGTGAGAATACCACTGTTGTCAAATGTAAATTTACCTGGCACATTAAATTGTATTACTATTTAGTTTTCAAATAGTTATACAGTAAATTCAAGACTGACTACTTAATCTATCTGGGACCACTGCACAACTGTAAACACCACCCCCTTTTGCACTCCGCTACTGGTGGTGGTCGATAAGTGCAACCCCCGACAAGCTGCCCGCTGGCGAAGAGAGTTTTCAAATCGGATCAGGGTGTGGAGTTCCACTTAACCACTCTCTCTTTTTAAGATAGTGTATTATCGTTGGATGAGCGGAAGGCAAAGAACACAAGATATAGTACATAGTATATAGTATGGAGAGACCTGGGGAGCGAGAAGCAGAGCTGTGCTATTTTTGTAAATCCCCCTTATAACTCGAACTACACATGTGGCCAAGGCCAAGGCAGCGATACGGAATAGAAGTTGGTGGGAAATTTCAAGTGGCCCAAAATAACAGAAACCTAGATGGAAACAAATCAGAATTGCTGTTCAATTCGATAACACATCAGTCGTAAACAATGAGCTGTCATTACTGACCATTGATATGGAAATCTTTGTACTTTGTATACTCCGCGGTAGAAAACCACGCATTATCTTATATTGATTACTAGCTTGAATAGATCAGGATTATGAATCATATTTTAATTAACAATTATTCCAATATTTTTTTGGCAACCTCTTGTGAAGGTTTTACTAGGTCTTAAAGCATTACTCCTAACATTAAAATAAAAAACATTTTTGTGAGTTTTATTACTATAAGAAAAAGATGAAACTAAGGGGATTTTAAAGATAATTTTAGTTTTTCTTTGTAACTCATAAGTTTACGGTGTGGGATAATAATTTTTCAAAATTATTTGATTTTGTTTCTGTGAATTATAAGTCTACTTAAGTAAGCCGTCTGGTTTCCAATTGATTTTTTGCTTCAAAATATAATGTTCGGAAACTTGGGGTGCTAAATTTTAAAAAATGAGTTTGGGAGTTCAAAATTCTTGGCTTATGGCAAACGGGACGGAGCCGAGCGTGCGATCGCAGGACATGGAGACTGCGACACCGACGCCTCCGCCGGCGATGAGGATCATCCACCTGGATCTCAACGAGGAGGAGAGCCACCAGCAGAGGGTGTCGAGTAAATACAGTGGCATGTGCTTCCACGTGGGCATAACGGCCATGCTCTGCTTGATGGTGGTGGTGATATTCTTCTTGGCTCCCCTGGGTGAAGACGGGTTCAATCGGACGCCCGAGGAGCGTTTCGCCAGCCGAAGGAAGTTCTACGTGGACAACGAGCGACGACTCCGGCTGGGCAGCGAGATGGCGCTGAGTCCGCTCGAGGAGGAGGCCAGTGCCAGGCTGATAACCATCAAGCAGATGGACGAGGAGGAGCACGATCTCTGGCGGAACTACCACTCACAGTCGCCGCCGTTCCTCAGCCATCTCAACATCAGCGAAACGAACCTCTATGCGGCATTGAGGAGCATGCCCAAGGGTGGACTGCTCCATGTCCACGATACGGGAATGCTAAGAATGGACATCCTGATCGAACTGGCCTACCGCGAGAACCTGTGGGTCTGTGTCAACCAGGACCAGGGCTTCGAGGACTTCCGCTTCTCCAGGCTCCTTCCGAACATTCCGCCAGCGGAGGACTACCACTGCGACTGGATGCTGATGAGCAACTTCTTCGAGCTTGAAACCCAGTCAGCATTCGTGGACAGGCTAAAGAGGAGTCTCGCTGTTCGGACGGAAGGTTACAAGAGCTCCGCCGAGCTGGGTAGCCACCTACGACGCCACCAGAGGCTCGTCCACGGGTTAACCGCATTCCAGCCGATCTGGAGCGACTTTATATACACCATGCTGACCGATTTCTACGCCGACGGGGTGCAATATGTGGAGCTCCGTTCCTCGCTGCCAATCGTGAGTTGGAATTTCGTTGGAAATCAAAACAACCTTAGTCTAAAAGCCTTTTTTAACCTTTTCTGGTAGAGTAGGTGTTCTTTTTTATTGCAATGTGGGTTGTAAAACCAGTTGCTTGGCTTTTAAATATTTCTGTAAACACTTTTTTGCTGGACACATTTTCTTTTAAAGGATTTTATATCTTTACTAAAACTTTTGAAGATAACGAATGATTTCAAAAGTGTTTTTATCCAAATACAGATACAAAAATCAATTCCTTAGAATAGATTAAATATCAGTTAGTATCTTACTGTTACTTAATTCTCATTATAAAGCTTTTATGTAAAAATTTATAAACATATTTAAAAGGTTTTGATAAAGCACATATCAAGAAACAAAACCTTTCTTCCCTTCCGAATACTACTTTAACCCTCCCTATTACCTAGATGTACGATCTGGATGGCAATAACTTTACCATTTTGGAAACGGCAGAGGCCATTCTTTCAGTGTCCGATATTTTCAAGAACACCTATAGAGACTTTTACGGAATCAAGCTGATCTATGCTCCTTCCAGGGACTTTAATGACAGTCGCATGAATGAGTATTTGGCGAATGCCCGCATGCTTAAGGTTGTTAGAGATACTGTACTATATTTAGCCCACCAAAATTCTATTTAACCTTCTCTTCTGATAGTCAAACTATCCCAATTTCTTTGCTGGCTTCGATCTGAACACCTTTGGGGATGAGTGCAATTTGCCAGTTTTGGGAGAAGCCACTCAGCTCCTGAGGGTCGGCAAGGATATTGACTTATATTTCCATGCGGGGGAGTCACGATGTCCGGATAGTTCAAAACCGGATGAGAATCTGCTGGATGCCCTGTTGCTGGGGAGCAAACGGATCGGAAACTCCGTGAATCTGCCCTTCCATCCGGAGATCATGAGAGCCATGCGAAACCTTAGAGTGGCCGTGGAGATTTGCCCATTGTCCAATCATTATCTGCAGTTCTTCAACGATTTCCGACAACATCCTGTGGCTTACCTGATTGCCACCGGCTTTCCCATTGTGATTGGTTCGGATTACCCGTCCTTCTGGAACTCCGCCCCCCTGACCGATGACTTCTATGTGGCATTTGTGGGCGTGGCCAGTGGGTGGGGCAATCTGCGCCTGCTCAAGCAGTTGGCCCTGAACTCGTTCATATATAGTTCCCTTAATGAGAGTGAGAGAAATGTGGCCGTAACCCAGTGGCGTTGCAGGTGGAACCGGTGGGTCAGCCAGTTCGTTAACAGTAGTGGATACCACTAGGTGCCACCGGTAAATGTATATGAGAAAATAACATTTTTGACGTTTCTAATTTTACTAATATGGAAAAGTAAACACGAACCACCAGAATTGTGATTATCTTGAACCCATACCTAAATCTTATGTCCTTGAATTTTTCACCATGCAAACCAACACAAAATTTGATTAAAACTTAAAATATTATTGGTTTAACTATATTAAAAAAGATTACTGGCACTCTTGTGAAAAGTAGAATTTAAGTTTGATTTATACCTTAAAAGGAAATAAGTGCTCTTAAGTGCACTTCAAACTTTTATTTTCGGTTGGAATTTCATTTTATAGAGGGTGAGAAAATATGCAAAGAAAGCCTCATAAATTTTTGATTAAAAGGTGCTCTCTAATTTGAACTTCAGAAGCATTTTTCCGCTTTCCGGTTTATCGAGAGTGCACCATAAAGTGACCAACAACGCGGCACTCGAGTTTTGGGGAGGTGACCATGGGCAGGGTTAGGGAAATCTAATCTCCGGCCACTCGTAAATCAAGATGCCAGATTGCCCGATTGTGGGCGATTAGCTGGTTGGGCGGGTTGCCAACCCGCACCCGCACGCGCAATTAACGCCCAAAAATCCAGGGGAACGCGTGTTAAATCAAAGATAATGCCGAACCACCGACCAATCGTTTCAGATAGGCCGCCTCGTCGAAACTAAAATCGGAGCTCCTCAATCGCGGTGGACGTCAGTCGCAGAGCGGACCTTTAAGCGATCGGAGCCAAACGGAATACTGCAAACCGCTTCGCCATGCTGCCCATCATCATCCGCCGTAATCTTATCGCCGTGTTCGCTTTCGGCCTGTGCGTCTGTCTCGGTTTTGGCCCTTGTCCGGCGGAATCACGCACCCGGCCGAAGAATCTGGTAGACCGAAAGCTGATGACGCTCTACGGCAGCACGCCCCACGTGGAGGCTCTTCTGGGTCCCGGAAGACCCACTCCGGACACCTACAAGACCCTGCGGAACGCCTTCTTCCGGTACGAGGAGTCCCGATCCCTCGGCTACGACCTGGAGCTCACCGAGCGGGAGATCAGGGCCAACGAGACCATCATGAAGGCCAAGCTGAACGAGTACGGAGAGGGATTGGTCACCCCGCACCTCTTCAAACCCGCCCAGCACATCTTCGACGTTTTGGATGGCATCCGGAACACGGATCTCTTCGCGCTCCTGAAGAAGATGCCCAAGGGAGCCGTGCTCCACGCCCACGACACCGCTCTCTGCAGCACCCAGGCGATCCTGGACCTGACCTACTACGAAAACTTGTGGTCCTGCCAGCAGGAGGATGATCTTGGCGCTACGGCGTTGAGGTTTTCCCGGGATCCGCCAGCTGAACTGACAAGCTGCAATTGGACTCTGCTGTCTGATGTGAGGACAAAGTACGGACCAAGCAAAGTCGATGAGTACCTGGCCGAGCGACTCACCCTGTACCCAACCAAGAAGTTCGAGGACAACAACGCCGCCTGGTCCACTTTCATGGAGATCTTCGGCCTGCTCGATGGCTTGGTGATGTACGCCCCCGTCTGGGCGGACTACTACTACGCTGCTCTCAAGGAGTTCTACGACGACGGAGTACTGTACTTGGAGTTCCGCTCCCTGGTTCCCACGGTAAGTGAATACGTATCCCCAAGATTACTGAAGTGCACTTGTTTAAAAAGATTCAATGCAGTCGATGTTTACTGTTTATTTAAATGCCTTCACTCGAGTGCTGGCCTATAATTCGAGGAAACAAAAGTAGTGTTCTCATCTTATCGAAATACGATAAGCAACTAAAGTAGCCTCTAGTTTGCCTTTTATTGCAACTAAGAAATAATAATATTTATATCAGATAAAGTCAAAGCGAGTTAAACGGTCAAAAGATGAAAGCACTTCAAGCTGTCCACTTTCAGAAATTACATTTATATTTTTTGATTCTGTGCAAACCCTGGAAAATACTTTTGAATTTCATATGAGAAATATGAGGACGAAGTGCAATATCGTTTTCATTGAACTTAATTTTTAAAGCTTTATAATCCTTTTAATTTTTATTGTTCCTTTTGAAACATAAACATTTTCTTACCCAAATAATTACTATTTAATTCGAATAATATGATTTTTACCAAATCTGTAATTATTTTGTGGTACTAGGAAAAAATCTCAGCCGCAGGACCCAATATAAACATATACAAAATTTTTGAATTGAAAAAAAGTATAGTTTAACCATTTGTCAGAGAGTCTTAGTGATCCCAATTAAAAATCATCGTTCTCTTGTAGCTCTACGACTTGGATGACACTGAGTTCACGCCAATGGATACAGTGCGCATTTATGTGGAGACCCTGGAGAAGTTCAAGGAGGATCATCCGGACTTCATTGGTTCCCGCATGATCTACGCACCCATTCGCAACACGGATTCGGAGGGAGTAGCTGCCTACATTAAAACACTGATAGAGATCAAGGTAAACTAACTTCTATTTTAATTTACAAGGAGGATTTTAACAATTTTTGTTTTCCGACAGAATAAATACCCCGACTTCGTGGCTGGTTTTGATTTGGTGGGCCAAGAGGAGATGGGTCGACCCTTGAGGGAGTTCATTGATGAACTGTTGACCATTCCCGAGGATATTGACTTTTACTTCCACGCTGGCGAGACGAACTGGTTCGGTGCCTCCGTGGACGAGAACCTGATCGATGCCATTCTGCTGGGCACAAAGCGCATTGGCCATGGTTTCGGGTTGGTCAAGCATCCCGTGGTGCTGGACATGCTGAAGCGACTGAACGTGGCCATCGAGGTGAACCCGATTTCGAACCAGGTGCTCCAGCTGGTCACGGACTTCCGCAACCACCCGTGCTCGCACTTCTTCGCCGACGGCTATCCCGTGGTCATCTCCTCGGACGATCCCTCCTTCTGGAAGGCCACTCCTTTGACGCACGACTTCTACATCGCCTTCCTGGGAATCGCCTCGCAGCACTCCGACCTGCGACTGCTCAAGAAGTTGGCCTTGAACTCGATCCAGTACAGCTCGCTCACGGGAGACGCACAGTTCGAGGCTCTGGAGAAGTGGCAGGTGAAGTGGGACCAGTTCATCGCCGACGTGAACGAGGAGGCCTCCAATCGGGGATCCCCCGGCCAGCGGATCGATTGACTAGCACGGGTGGTGGCAGCGCTGCTGGTCGCGATCTCTCTGATGACCTCTAACCTTCGGCGCTAGTCGGCAGAAACCCCCTCCTCCTCCTGCTGCTCCACCCCTCCAAACTCCAACTCGATCTTCAGTTGCAGCAGGTCAAACGCATCGCATCCTCATCCAGCCCACATCCTCAAAATGTAACCAATTGTTGTAAGCTAATTGTTATGGACTAGTCCCTAGTTAGAAATAGGCTAATACTTCTCTGTAAACCCCTGAGATTCTGTGCCACGCAACGTGAAACGGTGGAAAGCTGAAGTCCTATCCAGTCGCCAAAGAACCCGAAAGCAATAAAGAACCCGTTTTAGCCGTAGCCGAAATAAGAGTGCCTGCAATTTATGTTCCCAGCTCAAAGAAGCCTGAGCGTAATCGTAATGAGTTGGCCAGCCAAGCGATTTCCAATCCCCTTAGAGATGACAGCGTGAAGTAAAATATTGAAAACTCTTCTTGAGAAAAAGAAATGTTGACCTAGGATACTTAATGAAAATATAGAGACAGATGGGAAACTTCTGTAGTCAAAATCTTGGTGTCAATGCAATTTTCTACTGCTTTTAGGAGGGAATTTTTCAAAACCAACTAATAAATTCGACGGTGTGATGTTATGTGTAAAGTATCTAAGTGTTTCTGAATAAAATGGTTGGTTGAACTTACCTAAAGTTTAAGTAAAATCATCAAAACTGTTTCGCTGTTTAAATTTTGTACCTAAAAGCATTGTATCCATTGACATTTGCTACCCATAAATTGGTGTAGAACTCTCTTATTCACAATTTTCCGGTATGATGTAAATCTAACTACATTTCTCCTTTGTCATTCCAATAAATACAAATCTCCTTGCCTTACAAACCCGTAATTCCAATCCTACTGCTCCAGCAACCCATAATCCCCGATTTGCAGTCACGTTGCCATCTCCATCGGCGAAGTGCACTCAAGGCTTCGCCCGCATAAATCTCTCATTGCCTCTGGCTGCGTCGAGTGCGCAGAAAAGTGGATGCGAATTTTAATGAATATGCGCTATATGGTCGTTGGGGCCACCTCCCCTATTCTCCCCTGCTCTCCGCTCTCCCCTCTCCTCCCCCAACCGCCCATCAGTCAGCCTCCTCTCGACTGCGGATCGTGCCATCGGAGTGCTGCAAATGTTTCAATTTTACGTGCCACTGTTTAGTGCTGCGGCTGCCGAGTCCGGGTTCGATTTTGATTTGGCTAACGCCCGTAATGAGCTGGCGGAGTTTTATGGGCTGGCGGCGGATGCAGTCAGGTTGGGTCCTGCAAACGTAGATGAGACCATAAAATTGATGGGCCGACGTAAGCGTGTGTGGATAAGCCATTTCGAGCTCCCAGCTCTTTTTGGCAGCAACATTGTGCGTTTAGCTGGAAAATACCATAAAACTAGCGAAAAAAAACAAAATGTAGTCATGTAGTCATAAACTGAGAATGTTGGAAGTCAACGCAAAAGAAAAATATTAATTTTTTCAAATTTTTTAATGACAATACCATACATATTCGAAATTGTTTTATACACTCATACTTCCGAATCCATATTGCAAATACAATTTAGTTTTTTAGTCCCTTCAAACCATAGGTTTATACTTTATTAAAACTTAATACTTAAATCAAATGTTCTGAACTATTGGTATAACTTATTTAATAACATTAATCTTTGGTAACTCCCATCTATTTAAAAAAAAGGGAAGTCCAAAGAAGCAACCTTTTCAAAAAAAGCTAATCCGACAGCACTGCAGCTGTATCTGCCACCGGCCGTGGCAGCCTCATCAATTTGATGTCGTGCACATTTAATGTGGTGTTGAGGGCGCGCGGATGCATAAAAAACCGATGCCCCAACCAGTCCGCGATCCAACGAGGTCCATAAATTACTAATAAAAGCCGCATGTGTGTGTAGTTGACGGGGTCGCGGCTTTGGTGTGTTAAAGCGGAAATGCGTTGGGCGCCATTTTGTGCGTGGCATGTGGCATTTGCCACTCGCCGTTCGCCATTCGACGGAGGGTGAAATGCCAGTGGCGAGGCGCTAACAAATGTGCGGCCTATTGACACATTCGGAGTGACACATTTCGCAGGGTAAATAAATTGTGTAAATCACATGTTCGGCTAACGAAATCCCATCCAAATTCTCCATGAAACGCTGGGCTGCAAAGAGTGGCAAGCTCCAGGAAATCGAGCAAGATGACAGCCACCAAATGCTTGGCCATCTCCGTTCGCCGAGCTTCGACCGAAACCGAAACGATTAAGCACACCACGGCCTCGGTGAGTCGGTCATTGAGGAAGCTCTCACCCACCGCCTTCAAAACACTTCGCCAGGCAATCGCCAAGGTGGAACAGTTGGGCTCAATGGGCCAGAAGATAAGACTCAACGATCGGGAGATGGAGGCCAACAAGGTGATCATGGACGTCAAGAAAAAGAGATCGCCAGGGGCATTCTGGACCCCAGCAAGTTCATTCCCGGTCAGCACATCTTTGAGACCCTCACCGAGATCCGCAAGTCGCCGATCTTCAATTTGATTAAGACGATGCCCAAGGGAGGAGTACTCCATGCCCACGACACGGCGCTCTGCAGCACGGACTACCTGATAAGTCTGACCTACCGCGAGAATCTCTGGATTTGCACCACGGACGAGGGATGTAAGGCCATAGCTTTTCGGTTCTCGAAGGAGAAACCCACTCAGAAGTTCATCGAGGAATGCAATTGGGAACCGATGTCTGAATTCCGCGAGCGAAGGGGTGAAGAAAATGTCAAGAAATACCTGAAACGGCGATTCAGCATGTATCCAATGTCAAAGTTCGTTTCGAATAACGAAGCCTGGGCACACTTCATGGGCATCTTTATTCTGCTGGATGGCTTGCTTTTCCACGCCCCCATTTGGGCTGAGTATTACTACAACGCCCTCAAGGAGTTCTCCGAGGATGGCATCCAGTATCTGGAACTGCGATCCCTGCTGCCACCGCTCTACTGCATCGATGGCGATATGCTCACCACTCGAGACACGGTGGCCATTTACCAATCAGAACTGGAACGCTTCAAGGCCGACCATCCAGATTTTATCGACTCAAAGCTGATATATGCCCCACTCAGAGGAGTGGAGCCCAGTGTGGTCGAGCAATATGTGAAAACAGCAGTCGAAATCAATGTAAGAAATTTAAAAACGTTTTCAATGAATTCGTTAGGTCAGTAAGTTTTAGCAGTATTTTTGTTCTTTTATGATTTGTTTATTTTGTTGAAAATGTTCATAGTTCTATTATTACCAATATTTCGAGAATAGACTTTAATTTATTTAACATTAGATTTAAATGTTTTAGAGTAGAAATAGTGATGGTAAGCATAAATAAATAACAAATTTAAGCACTTTGATGCTTCAGAATTAGATCCCTAAAACTTACCTTACTTTAATCTTAATAAAACCATTTAAAAAAGTTTTAGTGCTCAGTATTTTTTAATTAACTATTTAAATGGACAGAAGTGTTATCCGCTTTAATCTACAGAAGGAGTTTCCGAACTTCATGGTGGGCTTCGACCTGGTTGGCCAGGAGGAGTTGGGCCGTCCGCTGATCGACTTTGTGGAGCCCCTGCTCAAGATGCCCGAGGAGATCAACTTCTACTTCCACGCGGGCGAGACCAACTGGTTCGGGTCGCCCATCGATGAGAACCTGGTGGACGCCATCCTGCTGGGCACCAAGCGGATCGGGCATGGATATGCCCTGACCAAGCACCCGATGATGATGCGACTGGCCAAGCTGCTGGACATCGCCATCGAGGTGTGTCCCGTGTCGAACCAGGTGCTTCAGCTGGGCGTGGACTACCGAAACCACCCGGCGGCTCTCCTGCTGGCCGCCAATGTACCCATCGTGATATCCTCGGACGACCCGTCCTTCTGGCGCTGTGCCCCGCTCTCCCACGACTTCTACTTCGCCTTCCTGGGCATTGCCCCCATGAAGGCGGACCTGAGGTTCCTCAAGACCCTGGCCCTCAACTCCATAAGGTACAGTGCCCTGAAGGGCGATGAGAAGCAGGTGGGCTATGAAAAGTGGCAGAGAATGTGGGACAAGTGGATCGATGACGTGGCGGAGCAGAAGTGTAGTTAACATTCACCTTTCAAGTCCATACAAATACAAATACTGTTCGTATATTTTCGCATTTTATTTATTTGAATTTTCGCCTGCACACGGATTACTCTGACGCTAGCTAAGAGTTGACTTACATCGATACAATTGATATGGGTGATGGCTAAGCTTCGCTCCTCACACCTCGACCTAAATCAGAGAACTCGTTTCGGGATATTTTCGGGGGATATGTGTGGTTTTCAAGGGGGCATAACGAAACTATGACCAGGAAATCGCGGTAGTCCTGGCTTTGTCCATTTACATCCAGCTAAATTCATTGTTCAAGCAGAGTCTTAGGCGTACGTGTAGATCTGAATACAAGTGAGTATATAGCACAGTTATAACTTGAATTTAGCGTTTGCTCATTTGGTTTTGAATTGCTTAAGCCTTGTACATCTATGTCTTTAAAATTATTATTTAGATTTACGTTACGTTATTATTGGGCAGCATTCCATTCGAATGATTTTCTGAAAATGTTTCCTTGTCCCCGCCTTTTGTGTATAGATGCTTGCAAAAATATTTATCCGGCCTGTGTTGGTTGTTCGCCCTTGGTTTAGTACTAACCCTATCGTTCACATACCTAAACTTACTGCCTCGATATGTTCAAATCCTAAGTATAACTTGCCGCCTCGCCGTCCCTTTCCAGTTTTCCTTTACAATCCTAACCATCCGGGGGGGCCTTAAGTATCGCTATGCTGTACAAATCTTAAACTCTACGCTCCTCTATATATCTCTGCCCTCCTCCGATCGGGTTTTATTTCATGGCTTGCGTGGGAATCGTTTACGCTATGTGAGTTGCTGCCACTGCTGTTGATGTTGCTGCTGCTGTTGTTGCTGTTGCTGTTGATGTTGCTGCTGCTCGTGTTGCTGCTGTCGAAGCTTTTCGGCCTTCCAACTGGATTCGCCCACACTCAGCGGATAGGGTATAATATCCGGCTGTTGTTCCGAGGACATGTTGTCCACATCATTGTGGTCGATGTTGTTGTTGTCGCTGCCGTTGTTGTCTGCCACATCCGCTTCGTTGTCCTTGTTGTTGCCAATGTTGTTGTTGGTCGGCTCATTTGGCTCGCCATTAATTTCGCGGTTCCGGCCGTGGTTATTGTTTTTGTAATTGTAATAACCATATTTATTTGTGTTAGACATATTGTCGTTGGTGTTTCTGCTGATGTTGCTGCTGTCGGCATTGCAATTCTGTGGGCCAAAAAAAGAGGGGAAGGAGAAAAACCATATGAAATTGTAATATAAATTTGTGGAACACAAATATTCCGTTTTCACAGAAGCTTAATTAAATTCTTGTCTCTTGTTTACGGCGCAAATTGCACGCGTTTCTCGGATATTTTCTGTGCAGCATTTTTCGATTTTGCATTTACTTTCGCTTTGAAATACTATCTTCAATAAGAATTTTTTATTAAAATGTAAAGAGATAGCACAAAAATCTTTATGAAGTTTTATTTATCGGTTTGTGGAGAATTCGTTTTGCCACAAGTAAAATTTTACTGACGTATATAAGTAATTAATAATTAATAAATGTATTATTTTTTTCATTTAGCATATATTAAACAAAATTATAAACAAATAAGGTTCCCTTTTTTGTTGTTATACTTTAAATATTGAATTAAGTGTGTACTGCATTGATAATAAATTATCTTTCAAGTTTATAGATTATATGTTTTGGTCGATTTAGTCAAGTGCTGTTTGCTTGCGAAGTAGATAAGGCACCCCAAGAATAACCACAATATGCACTTGAACCACTTGTAACTATTGCACAAATTACACAAACAAAACTTGACATGTGAACAAATAGTAGAAAAAATTATACTCGATGTGAATAGTGCAAAACAAATATTGATAAACTGTCATTTAAAATAAGAGGTTTTATTTCTAAACCTAAGTAATCAACTAACATTATTTAATATTTAAATCAGTACGTTTTGTAGAAGGATAGATAATTGTAACCGCAAAAAATGTTGGACTAATTTGATATGACATCCAATGCCGAACTGTATAAAAGCCCATATTCCGTGGCTTAGAATATAATTTGCATTTGTGCAATTTAACAAGCTAAGCAAAAATCAACCTAAGTCATGAGTGCCTGTGTAGAAGAAACGGCTTTCTCGAAAACGAAGGAGACCACCAGGATTGTAATTATCGGAGCAGGTGCATCTGGAATTGCGGCTGCCACTAAGCTTTTGGAGCAAGGATTCAAGAATGTCCAGCTTTTCGAGGCAGAGGATCGGATCGGAGGTCGCATAAACACTGTTCCATTTGCGAATAGCTTTGTGGACCTGGGAGCTCAGTGGTGTCACGGGGAAGAGGGCAATGTGGTCTACGAGACGGTTAAGGACTTGGATGTCCTCGACAGGACCGGCGACTTTGCCGTTTACTTTGTGCGATCCAACAAGGAAATCCTCTCCGACGAACAGACCAAGGTTCTAAAGGAATTTAAGGATGAATTTGAAGTAAAACCAGACTGTGAGGGATCCGTTGGCGACGCGTTAAACGAAAGTTATTGGAAGGAGGTGGGCCAGAAGGCGTTTCCAGACAACAGGACCATTGCTAAGGAGGCTCTTGACTGCATGAAAAGGCACATTTGCAGTGAGGATGCCTGCGATACCGTGTCTGAACTTTCGCCTCGCAACTATTTGAACTTCCATCAATCCGGTGGCGATCAGAATCTCAGCTGGCGGCAGAAGGGCTTCTGGAAGTTCCTGAGCATATTGCTGAATGCCAACGAGGATCAACCCGGGGATCAAGGAGTCCTTAAAGGACACGTGCACCTCAACAAAAGAATTGCTGAGATCAATTGGTCAGGAAGCGGGGAAACAACTCTGCGCTGCTGGAACGGTCAGATAGTATCAGCTGATCACGTAATCTGTACCGTCTCCCTGGGAGTTCTCAAGGAGAAGCATCCAAAGCTCTTTGTTCCAGCTCTTCCAGCTGACAAAGTTAGGTCCATTACAGGTCTAAAGCTTGGTACAGTGAACAAGTTCCTTCTGGAATTCGAAGTGCAGCCATTCCCAGAGGAGATGAGGGGCATAGCTTGCCTTTGGTTGGAAGAAGACCTCAAGGAGTTGCGAGGTAGCAAGTTCTTCTGGTTGGAGAGCATCTGCGGATTTCATCGGGTGGATCGTCAACCGCTGTTACTGGAGGGATGGATCATTGGAGCCCACGCCCGCTACATGGAAACCCTCAGCGAGGAAAAGGTCCTCGAAGGTCTCATGTGGCTCTTCAGGAAGTTCCTTAGCTTCAGCGTTCCCTATCCCAAAAATCTCTTACGCTCACAGTGGCACTCCAATCCGAATTTCCGGGGCAGCTACAGTTGCTACCCCACCTATGCAGATGAACTTCGCACGGGGCGCACGGATTTGGGGTCACCACTGGTTCATGTCTCCGGAAGACCAAGGGTTCAGTTCGCCGGAGAGGCCACGAGTCAAACCCACTTCTCCACGGTTCATGGAGCCACTGAATCAGGATGGCGCGAGGCCGATCGACTCATTGAATTCTACAAAGGACGAGCTGAAAACTAGCAAAAGTGACAAAAAAAAAAAATATGGCAGTAACGAAGCTTTAACAAAAAAAATATTTAAACATGCATTATAAATTACATTTTATTATCAAGTCACCAAAAAAAAGCACACACAACATAATAAAAAAAAATTATTTTATTAATTTAATCTACTCAATGCAACAGAGCCCAATTAATTTATGTAATCAAATAAAATTATAAACATTTTAATCAGTACGTTTTGTTCTAGGACAGATATTAGTAACCGCAAAAAATGTTGGACTAATTTGATATGGCACTCAATGCTGAAAAGTATAAAAGGCTCATGTTCTATTGTTTGGAAAAGAGTTTACGTTTGTGCATTTTAGCAAGCTTAGCGGAACACAAACCAAATCATGAGTACCTGTGTAGAAGAAACGGCTTTCTCGAAAACGAAGGAGACCACCAGGATTGTAATTATCGGAGCAGGTGCATCTGGAATTGCGGCTGCCACTAAGCTTTTGGAGCAAGGATTCAAGAATGTGCAGCTTTTCGAGGCAGAGGATCGGATCGGAGGTCGCATAAACACGGTTACCTTTGGGAATAGTTTTGTTGATCTGGGAGCTCAGTGGTGTCACGGGGAAGAGGGCAATGTGGTCTACGAAAAGGTTAAGGACCTGGATGTCCTCGACAGGCCTGGTGAATATACCATTTACTTTGTGCGTTCGAACAAGGAAATCCTCTCCAACGAACAGACCAACGTTTTCAAGGAATTCATGGGTAAATTCGATGTAAATCCAGATTGTGAGGGATCCGTTGGCGACGCCTTAACCGAAAGCTATTGGAAAGAGATGAACACTCAGTCGATTTTAAATGACAAATCCATTATAAAGGAGGCTCTCGATTTCTTGAAAAGGCGCATTTGCAGTGAGAATGCCTGCGATAGTGTGTCTGAACTTTCGCCTCGGAACTACTTGAACTTTCAGGAGTCTGGTGGCGATCAAAATCTCAGCTGGCGGCAGAAGGGCTACAAGAAGTTCCTAAGTGTACTACTAAAATCTAACGAGGATCAACCCGGTGACCATGGAATCCTTAAAGGAAAGGTACACTTAAACAGAAGAATTGCCGAGATCAATTGGTCGGGAAACGGTGAAATAACACTGCGCTGCTGGAATGGTCAAATATTCTCCGCTGATCACGTAATCTGTACTGTCTCCCTGGGAGTTCTCAAGGAGAAGCATCCAAAGCTCTTTGTCCCAGCTCTTCCAGCTGACAAAGTTAGCTCCATTAAAGGTCTAAAGCTTGGTACCGTGAACAAGTTCTTCCTGGAGTTCGAAGTGCAGCCACTGCCAGAGAAAATGATGGGCATTGCTTGCCTTTGGTTGGAAGAAGACCTCAAGGAGTTGCGAGGTAGCAAATTCTTTTGGTTGGAGAGCATCTGCGGATTTCATCGAGTGGATCGTCAACCACTGTTACTGGAGGGCTGGATCATTGGAGCCCACGCCCGCTACATCGAAACCCTCAGCGAGGAAAAGGTCCTCGAAGGTCTCTTGTGGCTCTTCAGGAAGTTCCTTAGCTTCAGCGTTCCCTATCCGAAAAGCTTCTTGCGGTCCCAGTGGCACTCCAATCCGAACTTCCGGGGCAGCTACAGTTGCTACCCCACCTATGCAGATGAACTTCGCACGGGACGCACGGACTTGGGGTCACCACTGGTTGATGTCTCGGGAAGACCAAGGGTTCAGTTCGCCGGAGAAGCCAAGAGTCGAACCCACTTCTCCACGGTTCATGGAGCTACCGAAACAGGGTGGCGCGAGGCAGATCGTCTTAATGAATTCTACAAAGGGCGAGCTGAAAACTAACATAAGAGGCAGAAAGCACTTAACGCTCAAAACCCACAAAAGAAAATTGCTTTAACATTAAAAAAATAATAATAATAATAAATACTCCGTAGTTGTTCATAATTTATGGAAATAAATTTACATTTTTTATCACTAAATTGCAATGAAAAATATTTTAAACCAGGCAAAAAAATTTTACCGTATTTTTAATAGATTTTAGATAGTTTAATATCCCTGCCAAGTGACATCTGAAGTTTCTTTTAGACACCTGACCATGTTTTCGTTTCTGTGACATTTCAACACTCAAGCAAAATTCCCAACTAAACAACACGCTGAGTGCAAAACAATAATTTTGAGGAATTTAATCTACTGAATGCAAAGGCGTGTCATCGTGCTCCTGCATAAAGGAATCCCAACTAAACCCATTTAATGCCGGCGCAAGTGAGTTAGTTGTACAATTAAGCCGAATGTTCCACTCCCAGCTATGTCAAGAGTGCCAACTCCGACTGTCAGCCACTCGCTATCCCCATCTCGATGTCCATCCACATCCACATCCACATTCCGTTCACCACTGCCACATTGCAATCAGCAAACACAGAGAAATACTTTGCCAGTCATAACAACCATTACCTGGCCCATAACACAAGTCCGGCAAAGAACAGAAACGCAGACAGAATCAAGAAGAGGGACACCGGCAGGAGCAGGACGACTGCTCTGCCATCTAGGCAAATGTGTGTCCTTTGGTCAAACAGAGACTTGTTTAACATTGTCACTCGAGGAGTCACGAGCACGTGGATGAACATCAGGACACTAAGTGAAAAATATGACTTGAAAGCAAGAAATTAGTTTTAAAAATCAACGATCCGATGCTTGAAAGGTTACTCACTTTGTCACAAAGATTCGAGTGAATTTGTAAGAACTTCTCAGAGATTCAAAATACTATGCGACGTGTTTTTAATTATCTTAAGATATTTAAAAATATTTAAAAGAAAACCTAAAAAATATTTTGATTTAAATTACATAGTGTTTGTTTTGTGATGTCTTATATATTTTAACCAGCATGTATCAAAAAAAAAAAAAAAAAAAAACATGAACAAATTTAAAGGGTTGATTATAAACTTGAAAAGAAAACAAATTTGCAATTTGGAAGCAAAAAATGTTATAATAATCATTTTCAACAACAAAACTATTTGTTCTGAAATTTATTACACATGTTTATTTCTCGGTGTAGTGGAACAAAAACCTCGTATCCTGCTGGCTAGAAACCGTAGGCAACGGATCCAAGGAGTGGCGCTCTGGCGGCGCATTAACCAAGGGATCGGCACTCGGATTGCAACACGAAAAGGGGAAGGTTCGGCGGAAAAGCTTCAACAGATGTGGCCAACTTGTAGTCGGGTTTTCCTTCTTTTGACTCGAAGGGCGACAAAGTCGCATATGTAATTGGGAAAGGGGTTAGTTCGAGGAAGGGGTGATGAACTACGAGCAGGAAAGGACTACGACCACCAGGGCGACATGCAAACAAACAAACAAATGCAAACACACAGAAGCGGACTGAAAACGACACACGGTGAAAAACTAAAAGAAGTTGTGTCCTTTAACAATAGATCAATAAACTAAGATCCATAGGTTCCTCCTTCAAATGTCATGCACCCTTTATAATTTTAAATCATTTGGGCGAACAAAGAAATTCACTTAAATGTCACCGACCTTCAAAATTGAATATTTATATGTAAAAAATTATTTAAACTAAATAAAAACATAGTTCCCAAATTTCTAGCTTTATTGGGAATATTATTCTTGACAAACATTTTGTAGCTCGGATATTGTCAATATATTTATTAAAATTGTTTTTGGTTTGTGACTAACTTTATTCTGCTTTAAAATTCAATTCCTACATCTAGAAAAACTCCTTAAAATTTTTTTCTCTCTGTTCATTATGTTGGAATGGTAGGACAACCAAGGATAAAGTAGAAAAACATAGGAGCAAGGATATTTTGAATGTTTTGGCCCCAGCTCGGCATAAATTTGAATTTTCAACATGGGCAGCCAAAGTGCTTCTCTGCTTTTGCCGGCCGGCAATTGCTGGGGCATTTCTGATCCTGTTCCTGCTCCTGCTTCTGCTTCTTCTCCTGCTCCTGATTCCTGCCTCCTGTTGGATGTTGTGGTTTCTGTGGCCATCCATGGCTGGTCTCGCCCAGTTTGGTTGGCCTTTGGGCTGCGTTTTTGCTGCACAAACTACTGGTATGTGCTAAACTGATTTCAGCTTTCCGTATTCCGCACGTAATCTGAACTTTTGCATGTGTGAGACCTCAGTGGCCACGCCCCCTGCCCACTGCTCACCACCCACCGCCCACTGCCCACGCCCTTCGTTTTCGGATCGAGTGTTTGCAAATGTTCCGAAAAACAGGCGCAATTACAATGTTGTTTGCTGCTCTCGCTGCAAATGAGTTGGTCAACATGTTTGGCTTTTATTTGGTTTTTTTTACGAATGCGCTTGAAATTTGTTTGCCATTGCATGCCTTGAAATTTAAAGAACTGCTTTTTATTATAGAGTCAAGACCCAGGCAAACAGACATGCCAGAAAAACGGTTATTGTGTCTGAGCTCAGACATTAAAATTGGCCATAAAATATTAACGAACTGTGGAAAAGCAGTAAATTGATTTGTAAGCCAAAGCTTACATCACATTTGTTTTAGGTTTGGCAGTCTAGGTCATAAGTTTTCAAGTCAACTACTTAGAGATGTAAAGGCGTTAATAATCAATTATCGTAAATTATTAAACCTATTTTCCTTGGTTGCTAAGCTATTGATCAACTACAAATTAGATACACAACTTATATCTAATCTTGCAAAGTACCTTATTGATTGCAGCTATAAAATGGTTCATTAAAATTGACTAGAGATTAAAGCCTTGACCCTTCTTAAAATAGCCGCATTTACCGATTAGATATCAGAAAAATTAACAAGAAATTTTCCTAAAATCAAATTGTATGGTTCATAAAGAATGAGTTTCAAATTTATTTATTTAACTTATTCTTTATTTGTATTTATTTTTTTCTTTTATGTGAAACTCCTTTACAAGGTCACACTCTCCACACAACTTGAAAATTCTTTTTAATTTCCAAGCAGGTTTTAATGGCAATGCACTAAGTAATTAAATAAAATAAATATCTCAAGTTTTCACACCCCATTGCCTGTGGCCAATCTCGATTTCACGGGTGTGGAAAACGTTTCCCGGCTGGAAAACCTGCTGCTCACAGCCGAGCTGTTCTCGACTGGTAGTAGAGGTTCAAGCGTTCCGCCTCGCGCCATCCCGTTTCCACGGCTCCGTGGACCGTGGAGTAGAAGTGCTTGTGCGTGGACTCCCCGGCGAACTGGAGGCGTGGCCTGCCGCCCACATCCTGGAGAGGCGATTCCAGGTCCCAGGCGCCCGTTCTCAACGCATCCGTGTAAGTGGAGCGGAAGGTGTAGCTGCCCCGGAAGTTGGGATTCGCATGCCACTGGGTTCGCAGCATCCGAAGCGGATGGGCCATCGCAAAGGGCAGGAACTTGCGGAAGAGCCAGAGCAGACCCTCCAGCACCTTCTCCTCGGTGAGCGTCTCCATGTGTCGGGCATGGGGTCCTATGATCCAACCCTGCAGGATGCGTGGCTGCCTGGAAACCGGATAGAAGCCGAACACACTCTCCAGCCAAAAGAGTTCGGAGGCCCGCAGCTCCTCCAGATCCTGCCTCAGCCACAGGCAGTTAAAACCAGGCCAATCCGCTGGCAGTGGGGGATTCTCGAACTCCAGGAAGAGCTTGTCCACGGTGCCCAGCTTGAGACCCTCTATGGCTCTCACTTTTTCAGCTGGCAAAGCGGGAACAAAGAGCTTGGTGTGCTGCTCCTTGAGAACTCCCAAGGAAACCGTGCATATCACATGATCCGCGGTGATGACCTCACCATTCCAGCAACGTAGGACCAGCTCATCCGCTCCTTGCCAATTAATCTGGGCAATTCGTCTGTTGAACAGCACGTGACCCTTGAGAATGCCCAGATCATCGGGATTATCCTCCTGGGCTTTCATGAGTAATCGCAGGAATCTCTTGTAACCCTTGTCCCGCCAGTTGAGGAGCAGTTCGCCCTCGCAGAGCCAGTACTCCAGGTGACCCTTTCCGGAGACCTCGAACAGGTGATCCGCCGCCTCAACGGAAGACTCGAACTTGTGGAACACCTCCAGGAACTCTTCGGCAATTGTGCGGTCAATGGGCTCGATTTTGGCCAGCTCCTTCCAGTACTTCATGTTTATGTAGTCACCCAAGGAGCCCTCGAAGTTCAGGAGCTCAGTCTGCCTGTCCGGAATCGAGTTATCTGCTATACTTTTCAGCTGATCTGCTATATTCTCGGGCAGGACTTCCTTGTTGGAGCGCACACACTTAAACGTTTCGTAGTGGGGTTCCGTGACCTCCAGGAGATCAAGATCCTTGACTCGTTCGTAGACCACATTTCCCTTCTCGCCATGACACCACTGGGCACCCAGATCAACTACATTATCCGCAAAGGGAATCGTGTGAACTCGACCTCCGATTCGATCCTCTGCCTCCAGGAGAAGGACATTCGGGAATCCCAACTCCAGAAGACGAGTAGCAGCGGCTATTCCCGCGGATCCCGCACCCACGATCACAATTCGAGCGGTTTGTTTGGTTTTACTCAGCAGACGTAGAGATGCCGAGCTCATGGTGGTTAAAACGTGAACTTAAATTTCTCAAAACAACCGGCCGTGTTTCACCTTCGACGCTCGTCACGCAACTAAATGTGTTTCTTCACTTTCACTCGCTCTTATCCCACTTTTCAATAGTTCCTGCTCTCTTCTTCACTATCTCTAAGTATTTATGGGTCTCAGCGATAAGAACAAAACCACCGATAAGGCGGTCTTCATTGTTCCCCATTGGAATTGGTGTTATGTCAATGTTATTAAAGCGAAAATAAAACAATTGACAAGCTAACAATGCAAAATCAGCACTTAATAGGAGTTTTTAAGAGAGTGGCACGTACTTCAAGAGAGCACTGGCTTTCTCTTAAATTAAGCTCTCTGCACGCAGACAAAAATAGAATTTGTTTTTCAGTCTTTCGTGTTTTTAAAAATTACCATAAAACAAAGTTGACCTCATTGATTTAAATTTTGAACTTGGGTCTTAATAGACTTCCATAATTGATTGGGTTTTAATGGTACGTTTGTAAAAATTATTCACTGACCATGTTTTTGAGTTAATATTGTATAAAGAGCTTTGCTTGGCAATGGTTAAATATATTTACAAAAAAAATATGTTGAATCAAAATTTTTTGAACTAACAAATTTAAAATAAATAAGTAAACAAATTTATTATAAATACTATAATAAAAATTATCATAAAACCATTTTTTATTAAATATTTTGGTACGAAACTGTCTTAAATATTACAGAATTTTTATTCTACAACTAGTTTTGGATTTGTTATTAGGTTGTTTAAATATTAGATAAAACTATAGTGTTTCCCTTTATTTCACGACTTCTCTATTCTATGAATTATATTACCAACTTCTAGCTATTTTTCTTCAATTTTATATGCAAGTCGACCAAATGAGATAGAAAATGCAATTTGTTTTAATCGCGTAAGCTGATTTAAGAAAACAAATTTCTGTGGCTAAAACACAACTATTCGCAAATCGACTATCTTTGTTGTCAACTACTTGAAAATAAAACCATAGCAAGATTACAAAGGAATGGCAAAACAAAGGCCTCACTTAAGGCACACAAACAATTGAACGCACACTCCCTGTTAGAATTTTTAACTTACCACCCGAATGTGTGCAACAAAATGTTTTCGTTCGGTTTGCCAGTGGCCCAGTGAGCTCCTTTGATGAATGTATTCATAAAAATCCAATCATTGCAATTGCACAGCGCATACGGGCGGGCGAAGGCAAGGCATTCAAGATGAATTCGCCAAAATAATGGGAAAACACAACAGACAGCTGGGCGCGGAAAAACCCTCGTCCTTCGACCACCGCCCACCGCCATTTGCCCGCACAAAATGGGTAACTCCCCTCGCAAACAAGCAGTTAACAAAAAAAATGCAGCAATAATTTTTTTTCGGAAAACAAAAACACAATTGTGCATAGACTAGGAAAATAACCAGAGGAAAATATAACCGATTAAGAGGAGAGAGTTAGGTGGTACCTACTCTCAAAAAAAAATATATTGAAAATAAATATAAACCAGTAAATATAAACCAAATATTACCAAAACTCTTAATTTTAGATAACACAATATTATATAAATACATATATTGAAATTGCCAAAAATAAAAACTAAAAAAAAAATATTATCAAATATATAAAATAAGTATTTTGGTAATATTGTTTGATTTGTATTTACCAAAATACCAATTTTTAGGGATAACACAATATTAAACAAATGTAATTAATGCTGGCTGGTTTCTCAGTAAAAAGAAAGTCATCGTCAAACAATCATTTGAGTACCAAATTCAAAGCTCTTCAGAAACATATCGACTTCTTTATTAAGGGGTATTTTACCTTCAGCAAGAACATTCACAACAACAAAAGATGCGATTAAAATGACAATTGAAAGCAATTTTCGTGCATCTGGTACAGGAAGTGCGGGCAAAAAAGATTGAGGAGGGGAAACGATTGTCGAGGTAAGGACACAACCGAATGATTGCCTGAAATGGCAGGCGAATACGGTTGGCCTGTGTAATATGACATCGTTTATGGGCCTGCTGCTGCAGGAATGCCAAGGAAAAGTCAAGAACAGCCCGAAACCCGAATACCCAACCCAACCCAACCTCTGGTACTCACATTCGTGCTGCATTCACATTTCAGTATCCATTCGACGGCAATGAATTTATTCTCGATTTGTATCTGATGTGATTGCAGGAATTCCTGATCGATTGGCTCCAAGGCGACGGTATCCCATAACTGTGCATTTTCCGGCACAGCCTCCTCGTCCTCATCCTCGTCTTCGCCCATATCCTCGTCATCCTGGGGCGCCTTCAGTTGCCTTTTTCTGCCCAGCTCCCATCGCTTTACGTAGTTAATTGGATCGACAGCATTTAAAGGACACAACAGCTCGACCTGAAAAGGCAAAAAAAAAACGGGCATAAAAGAGAATCATTGTAGAAAGATTGAAGCCGTAAGGAGTTGAAATCTCGGCTGAGCGGATTTCCTGTTCTTCGGAAAAAAATGCGTTTGCTAGTTTACGGGGAAGGAAGAGGTGTTAAGTTGATTTCGACATCTGGGCAGCATTTGACTTTTAATTTTGCTGCCTCTTGGCATTTCCGCTTGTTGTTGCAGGTCTGCAAATTGACGTTTTAATGCAATTTGCTTTTTAATTAAACGTGAAAGGCAGCTGAAAGGTAGCAGCCAATAAACTAAGCAAGAACGACATTGTACAACTGATTTCTGGGTATAAACAGCAACCTGAGTCGGGCCAATTAGACTCATGGGAATCAAATTCTCGTTGAGTCTATGTTTAAATAGGCACAAACAAGGAAGGAAGATATTGGTAATGCTTTATGCATAAATAAATAAATTATTAAACAACGATTTTGTATTAATAGGCTGTTAAAAACAAATTAGATTGGAAAGCAATATTTGTTTGACTAAATATATGTAATTGAATAAAATATGTAAAAAAAATTGATGAAAATTGATTTGTCTGTTTATATTTTTAGAATGATCAACAAAATCAATTTACTCAAATATGTTGTCCCCTTACGCTTTAATTATATTTTACTATATTTTAGATTATATTATATTTTCGTTTAATTAAATTTTACTTTATACCAGACAATTGAAAAGATTGAAGGACAAAATCCAAACAAACTAAAGCTTAAATTTTTATCTAGCGCTTTGGTGCAATAAAATACTGTGCTTTTATTAAGGAAAAACTTTTTCCCATTCTGAAATTGTTTAAATTTTCAAATTTAAATTCACGAATCTGCACAAACAGATAAGTTTATTAACTGATGGCTGAAATCATCAGAGCAATGACAATTTTTATAAATATTTAACTTTACGAAAACAGTAAATACGTCCCCGTGATTTCGACAGATGAGTCGGTTCAGATAGATGGATTTCATTTATTTCGCAATATTCCTTTATATTTTCATTTCTTGGAAGCGGCTTTGCTTGAATTCAATTGTTTGAAATCCCTTTATTATCCTTAAAGCAGAAAAACAACCAATCAATCTATAGTTTAATTAATTTATTGTTGGCTTACCATCAATTTAAAGGGTATTTTTAAAGTGTATTATTCCGTATTAAATCTCTAACTATCTGCGTCTTTTAATGGTAGTCAATTGCATTGCTTTTAGATTAACGATAATTTAATTGAAAAGGACAAACAGCCAACGACAAGCTGGGATGCTGGAAATGCAAATTTCTGCAAGCTGCGAAAGGAAAGCAACGGAAAAGAAAAGCGGGAAACTCAATCCGCGGGGATTTTCATCTCCTCCTTGGGCGCCAGGTGGTCGGGCTGTGAGCTCAGCCCGTCTTAGCCCAGTTGCCACTTGGCAGGTGCGGAATAGATTCGCGGCAACCGCTCCCGGACTCCGACTCACCTGTATCGTTGTGGAAGCCGCCGGGGCACAGCACTTGACCCCGCGGTGGCAGCGTCCACAGAGCTTCGGTCGATACAGCTTTCGGGAAACGCACTCGCCCAGGCGAATCCTGGCAGGACCCAGTCGCTGGATGCTCCTGCACTCGTGGCCCTTCTGTGGGGAAAATAGGGAAAAAGGGAAGATAACCGAGATAAATAATGAGATCGAAACTCTTTAATGCAACACAACAATATTGCGAAGATGGGAGACCATTAAAATTTTAAATTCGTTCATTCCACACCTTTAGTGTTGCGAAAAAGCATTTTTTAATAACATAGCAAACAAAACAAAAAAAATGATTAGCATGCTTAAATTATCATAAATGGATATAAAAAAAGTGTATATTTTTTGTTATCACCAGTTTTTTATGCAAAATTTAAGTCTTTAAATAAAACACAATAAAATTCATTAATAAGAATGACTCGTTTTAAATAGTTTGATTTGTGTTAAACGAGCCATAAGTTTGGAGTTAAAAATAGTAATTATTTTTAATAAATTCTTAACTCTAAAGCATTTTTTTGACTTGATAAAATCTAAATACATATTTAAAAAATTAGAAAATTAAATATTTTACTTAAATTTATTCTTGAAGTCTCAGTTGCACTTGTTTAGTGGATATTTTCCCAAAGTGGCAAGAGTGGTTTTTCATTAAAAGGACACTTACTCGTATCCTGTGGGCCGGCTCCACTCGCTCCTGGTGGTTGTGGTAATGCTGGGAGTGATGGGAGTGGCTGTGGCTGTGGCCATGATGCTGTTTCCGCTGGTGAACTAACGGCCTGAGGCTCCTGCTCCGCATTTTGTCCTCGTGCTCGTCCTTGTCGCACCTGCGATTCTCGCAGAGCCGCAAGTTGCTGAGTTGGTGGCAACCCGCGTGGGTGGAGGTGTGCCGCGTGGCGGTGCCAAGGCCGCAGGTCCGGCTGCAGGCGGTCCAGTTGCCGCTGGTGGTGCTGTTGTGGCAGGTGGCGTAGACTGCAACGAGAGCAGCGGTAAAGGATTGCTAATGAGCACGCTTATGATCGCCAGACACATTAATCACTGCCAATTGGCGAAAGCATAATTCTTACTCCGCTTCGTTAACATATTTTTCCCTTTTTAGCAAAATGGGTTACTATTTTTTTTTTTTTAATTTTTCAAAGCAATTTTTACCTGTTGCTCTATAGTTTTTATGTTCTGTTTTTACTTATTTCAATTAAAGTTAAAACGTTGAACACCCAAACTTTTATCCCCTCTTTATCTCCTTCGCTCTCTATTTTAGTTATCTAACGTAATTAAGAAAACATTTTTTTGTATTTATCCTTGCAGAGGGTATTATAATTTAATTTAGAAGTTTACAATGAAGTAAAAGAGACACCTCAGACCCCATAAATTATATATATTCTTAAACAGCATCGCTATCTGAATTGATTTAGGTATGTACGTCATTCCGTTTGTATGTCTCTATGCACACTTATCGCTTAGTTATAAACTTATCCCAAAATGAGACTAATACTATAAAGTCTACTATATCAAGCTGATGTTCTAAGGATGGAACCGACCATAGAAATGAATGCAAGGGTATATAAACATCGACTAGGTAAACATAGCTTTATTCCTTGTTTCCTTGAAATTTAAATCAGATTGTTGGAAAATTAATTATTTTCAAAAATGAGTCCAAAGGGAGAATCGTTTTCCTCAACTGAAGTATACGCCGTTGGAGATTGGGAGAAGCTGAAGCTGCTCCTGTGGAAGAATTGGGTTCTTCAGTGGAATCAAAAGATGCAAATAGTGTTTATTCTGGTTCTTCCTGTGATGTTCCTTCTTCTGATAGTGTTTATTCGTCTTATAGTCATGCCGGAAAGTTTGGATGAGACTCGATATCCACCCGTACCCATTTCGGACTTGAGGCTTTACATGAAGAAGGTTACGCAGGGAAATAGGATATTACACCAGAACGGTTCCCTGAATATACCAAAAAACTTTCTTTGCTACACTCCAGATACTCCATTTTTTGGAGCTGTTATGAATGCCACGGTATTGCGGCTCAGACTTTTGGGGAATCGTCCTTATGAGAACGCTTCGCATATGGAATATGATATGGTAATGCATAACTTTCTAGCCGGAGTGCAGTTCGAAACAAATATAGAGGCGACCAATGATCAGGGTTATCCACTAAGCTTAAACTACTCCCTGCGATTTCCCAGCGAACTGCGAACCATGGAAGGACCAATTATTGAAACGTGGCGTACATCCAGTAAGTTTTTGTCCTACGATGCGAAGGGTCCCCGAAATAGATTGGATAATGATGGCGGACTTCCGGTGGGATACCTTCGGGAAGGCTTTCTGCCAATCCAACATGCCCTAACCATGTCCTGGCTGAACTTATTGTCGGGTGTTAATGATAACGACCTGCCAGTAATAAATCTCAAGCGCTTCCCCTACGGAGCGATCACCTACGACCGATTGCTGAGTGGTCTGCGCCAACTCCTGCCCTTCGTGATCCTGCTCAGCTTTATTTATCCCTGCTCCACTGTGACCAAGTTCGTGACCGCCGAAAAGGAGCTCCAGCTCAAGGAGATAATGAAGCTGATCGGAGTCCACAACTGGCTGCATTGGGTCGCCTGGTTCGTTAAGAGCTACATAATGCTGATGCTGGTGGTGGCTCTCATTATGATTCTGGTTATGATCAAGTTCACCTCTTCGGTGGCGGTGCTCACCAATTCCGATTGGCCTCCGGTGCTGTTCTTCCTGCACACCTATGTTGTTGTGAGTATCTGTGTGTGCTTCATGTTGGCGGTTCTGTTTTCAAAGGCCAGCACAGCATCTGCAGTTGCAGCCATCTTCTGGTTCCTGACCTTCATACCCTACTCGTTCTCCTTCTATTACTACGAACGTATGAGCCTTCTGCAGAAACTGCTCATTTGCATGGTATTTTCGAACTCAGCTTTGGGATTCGGCATCCATGTCATCGTAGTTTGGGAAGGAACCGGAGAGGGCATCACCTGGGACAATATATTCCACCCCGTCTCAACAGACGATGATCTCACCCTGTTTTACGTGATCATGTCGATGAGTTGTGGAGGACTCATATTTCTGTTAATTTGCCTGTATTTGGAGCAGATATTCCCCGGCGACTATGGCATACCTCGTAAATGGTACTTTATTTTCCAGAGAAAAATACTGCAGCACTTTATGCCTTTGTATATAGTGAATGCACCAAACAACATTGGTGGATCTGAAAGGAAAGGAGAAAGTTGTAGGAAAGGAAGGGAAGCAGGAGTTCAATTGTGCAACCTTCAAAAGACATATGGCAAACACAAAGCTGTCAAGGGATTGAGTCTCAAGATGCATTGGAATGAAATCACAGTGCTACTCGGTCACAATGGAGCTGGCAAAACCACAACCATCAACATGTTGACCGGAGTAGTTAAACCCACAGCTGGAACCGCGATAGTCAATGGCTATGATATTCGAACCGATTTGGAGAAGGCTCGCCAATCCCTGGGAGTTTGCCCCCAAGTCAATATACTCTTCAGGAGCATGAGTGTGCGGGATCATATAATATTCTTTAGCAAGCTGAAGGGAGTTCGCGGTTCGAAGGCGGTGAAAAATGAGGTGGCTAAGTACGTTACCATGCTGAAGCTGCAGGACAAATCCTTTGTGGCCGCTGATAAACTATCTGGTGGCATGAAGCGAAAGCTTTCCCTTTGCTGTGCCCTATGTGGAAATGCCAGAGTTGTCCTCTGCGATGAACCGAGTTCGGGAATCGATGCAGCAGGTCGCAGAAGCCTCTGGGATCTACTGCAGAGCGAGAAGGAAGGACGCACCATTCTGCTGACCACTCACTACATGGATGAAGCCGATGTCCTGGGCGATCGAATAGCTATTCTATCCGAGGGAAAGCTGCAGTGCCAGGGAAGCTCCTTCAGTTTGAAAAAAAGGTTTGGCACTGGCTATCAACTGGTGTGCGTAATAAAGAATGGCTGCGATGTTGATGCAGTAACCAAGTTGGTAAACAAGTATATTCCTCACATAAAACCGGAAAGGCAGTTGGGAACCGAACTAACTTATCGTCTGCCCAACGAGTACTCCAAGAAATTTGCGTCACTACTAAAGGATTTGGATAAAAATTGTGATAACCTTAAGTTGGAGGGGTATGGCCTCAGCGGGGCAACTTTGGAAGATGTTTTCTTGAACGTCAACAGCGACAGAAGAGTTGAGGGTGGAGCGGAATCGCCTCAGGATAAAGAAGGTCTGGATTTAGTCTTTGATAAAGAAACAAAGGCAACACGATCTTCGACACGTTTCTGTATGTTCTGGCAGGCTCTCCTTTTGAAGAAAATATTTGTCACCTTCAAAAACTACTGGATAATTCTGATACACGTTTTATTGCCCCTTATAGTTATGGTCATGACCATTCTCAATTCGCGTGGAGGTAGAATTTACTACGAATTGCCAGCTATGCCCATATCCCTTTATCAGTACGATAAATCTTACGTTATTTTGGATGGTAATGCCACCGATGAAGCTTCATCTCTTGCTAAGGATTATAGTAAGCATTTAGAGCAGTATGACGACAGAGTAAAGTTGATAAGCACAAACGACTTCGAGGATTATATACTTAGTATGGGCAAAACCGAGGTCCGTCGAGTTGACTTCAACTTTTTAGCTGGAGTTACCATTGCGAGTGATAACCTAACTGTGTGGCTGAATAATAAGCCTCTGCATACCGCTCCATTGACCCTTAATTTACTGCACAATGCCTTGGCCATTAAATTTTTAGGAGAGAAGGCCTCTACATTCGTAACCAATGAGCCTCTGCCGTATAGCGATGATACCAAGACTTTGCGATTGAACAAAGGAGAGCGTTTGGGAGCTGAAATCTCGATTAACTTGACTCTTTGCATGGGTTTCGTAACAGCCTGCTATGCAGTTGCCATTATAAAGGAGCAGGAGACTAAGGCCAAACTCCTGCAATTGTTGAGTGGAGTGGATGTGTTTGCCTACTGGATGAGTCACTTCATTTGGGATTTTTTCATGTTTTTCATATCTGCATTAGTGGCGATATTAACGATTGCAGCTTTTCAGGAGATTGGATACTCAACGCCATTAGAGCTAAGTCGTTTCTTCCTTTTGCTGTTAATATTTGCCTGGGCTGCCATTCCCCTGAGTTATGTGCTCGCCAGTCGATTTTCGGACTCTGCCACAGGTTTCATCCGCATTGCCATCTTCAACACCTTGACCGGAACCGGTTTATTTATGCTGTTCTTGACCCTCAACTTCGAAGCTTTTCAGTTGAAGCATGTGGCAAAGCAACTCGCCTGGTACTTTCGCATATTTCCGCCGTACTGCCTGGCCAGCTCTACTCACAATATTCACATTGGATTCAGCATTCGAAGGGGATGTGAGGATAGTCGCCTTCAGAAGATTACCCAAAAATCCCGCTGTGCTGTTCCATTGTGCTGTAATATTCCAGACTATTTCGCTTGGGAGAACCCTGGTGTCTTGCCGGAAATCGTGTATTTGATTACGGTAGGTATAGTATTATTTTTGTACTTGATTGTGCTCGACACTAAGACTCTCGAGTCGATTTACGAATCTTGTTGCAAATTGTGTGCGGGACGTAAGCGTTCCACCGGAGGATCCACAAATGAAAATGAAGACGTTGCCATGGAACGATCGGTTGTAATAGACCTGATCAACGCGGAACGAAAAGATATACCTCTCTTGGTTAATAATATTACCAAAAAATATAAAGAAAAGCTGGCCGTTAGAGGAATCTCCTTTCATGTTGCACAAAACGAATGTTTCGGTCTTCTGGGAATCAATGGAGCTGGTAAGACCTCAACCTTCAAGATGCTTACTGGGGATGAGAAAATCACCTCCGGAGAGGCCTACATCGATGGCGATAACATATCCACCCATAAGGTGCATGGCAAAATCGGTTATTGTCCACAATTTGATGCCTTATTTGAAGACCTAACTGGACGGCAAACCTTGAGGATTTATTGCTTGTTGAGAGGAATCCGACGACGACTTGTGAGGGACATAATTTGGGAGATTTCTAAATCATTTGGATTTCAACAGCACCTGGACAAAAAAACGAAACATTACAGCGGAGGAAATAAGCGTAAATTAAGCACAGCTATAGCTGTACTCGGAAATCCCTCGGTTTTGTATCTGGATGAACCCACCAGTGGAATGGATCCCGGAGCTAGAAGACAACTTTGGCAGGTTATAGGCTTAATTCGATCTGCTGGAAAGTCCATTGTCTTGACCTCACACAGCATGGATGAGTGCGAAGCATTGTGCACTCGATTGGCCATAATGGTAGATGGCGAATTTAAGTGCATTGGCTCCGTGCAAAGCCTTAAAAATCAGTACTCAAAGGGACTCATTCTCAAGATAAAAGTCAAGCAAAAGAAGAAAACCTTCCAAAGAGTTGTGAAAACTTCATCGTCGTCAAGCGTTCATAGTTTATCAGCAGAAACAGCTCCTGCAAATGCTACAAAGGATTTTAATCAAAAAACTGTATTGGGAGATCGAGTTTCTAAAATTAATAAATTTATTTTGAAAGAGATTCCTGATGCTGAACTGCATGAGGAGTACAACGGACTGTTGACCTACTACATTCCACAAACAAAAATATTGCCTCACATTTTCCAGATGCTTGAAAGTAATGCAAGCAAGTTGAACATTGAGGATTATTTAATAACGCAAACACGGTTGGAGGAAATTTTCTTAGAGTTTGCCTCGAAACAGGAGACCTCTGAAATTACTACTACAAGGTGCGTATATTACCTTTTGATAACAAATAAAGATTTTAAAATGATTTTCTACATTTTTTTTCAGAAAATGCTGCTGCTGCTAATCTTAAAGTTTTATGTGTTGTTGCATAATATTTATAAGTAAATTTAATATATATTGAATGAATGGTTTAGAGTTTTCTAAATCTGACCTGAGTTTGCAGGAGCATTTTGCAAATTCTAATTTATAAATAGGAAGCAAAATTCCTTGGAATGAAGATGCTAAACTTTGTGTTGATTAAGAGAAGCCTCTCGGGTATCCTTTGTACTAATTGTTGCCCAGGAGCGGCAATGTGTTTTAACTCAGTCAAGGTCTCAACTGCTCGACTTGCCATTTAAGTCGCCAAAGGCTATTCCCGGTAGCTGCTGGCAGAAACGCTTAATATCTTGTTTATTTATTGCATTCTGCGCGTTTAATTAACACTTAATCCCTGTGTAAGTAATTACGCTGGAGCTCCAGCACTCGCTCCTCCTGCTGGTGAGCTGCCGTCTCGTGGAGGAATAATTCATCTTCATAAATATGCGCTGCACTCTCCACTCGGTTTAGGGGCATGATGTGGGTTTTCGGGGGCGCTTAAAAAGCATTAAGTTGCGCATCGGACACAGGCGACACGCCCCTGAGCGCCATTAACTCGGACCAGTGGACCAGGAAGCACGAGCAGGAGGAGAAGGAAGTGGACACAATGGGATGGTCACAGCCATAAACACACTTATAAAACAATAACAAGGCCATGACAGTGGAAATGGAACTACGCTAAGAAAAAATTATTTATTTATTCTGTTACTTTAAAAAATGTAACTTCATATGGTTAAATAAAAATAATTGGTTCTGAAATCTAGAAAACCGAAATCTTTATAGCAAAATAGTAGAACAGAGTAAAATATCTGTTTTCAATTTTCTTTAGGCACATTAAAAATCTTGAACAGTTCTTTCATGTAAATAAATAAATTTTTTATAGAAAAGAAACGTTTTAAATTCTTGGTTTAAGTAAAGCTTATAGCGTTAAAATAACACCTCTAAAATTGAATTTAGAAACCATTAAACAAAATAAATTCCCGAAGTAAGGATTAACGTCACAATAAAAATAACATTTTGCTGAAAGCCCCGCAATATATTTTTATTTCCTTGCAAGGCCTTGTTAAAGTATTTTTTCAAGGCCTTCCGCTGAGTAACAATAAACATTTTGCAAGATTTATTTGATTATTTTCTGCGAGTGCAAACGGGGACTCACCATCAGCTGTTGGATTCTCACAGAGCCACATCTTGCAACAGTGGCCGGGCACTTCGACGAGGCGCGGCGATCGGCAGGAAATCGTGTCCTCCGGCGCAGGCAGCTGCTCGTTGGGGCAGAGAGTCGAGCAGGCGTGGCGGCCATTCTGCAATGCCACATTAAAATACATTAAATGTGGCCCATTGTTGCTGCTGTCGGGTTGTTTATTTAGCTTTGGCCGGCCAGCCGAAAATAAAGTCATAATGTAAAGAAAATATTGGCCCAATCGCACGAGGATTCCCAAAACTTGGCAAGGTCCTCGACTTGGCCACGAACTTTGGCCTGTTGTTTCTTTCGTGTTGTGTGTGTGTGTTCTTGTTTATGGGGAAATTAACATTTCTTGCGGACCTCCACTGCTTTGTTTGTAATCCACTTTTTTCCTTTAAGCGGTCAAAGACCGATGATACTTTTTCCCCATTCCTTGCCATCGTCACGAAATTGCATTGCATAAATTGCAAGTGGCTGTGTTTTTATTATGCCACTTGATAAACTACCGTCGCAGCTGGAAATAAGGTGCAAAAACCGAAACAGACTTGGAAAACTAGCTGCGATTATAAAGCTGGGTAGTGGCAATAAAGCAATGCCAGGGATTTAATATTTCTTTTGTTTGCGCTTTGCCTATAAATGGACTTAAAATGCTGTTCTGTTAGCAAAGATTTTAAAAGCTGGAAAGCTGCTTAAATAGTACAAAAACGATGGCTTCTTTAAGCTTGGAAAATATTTGTTTAATTTCTTTAAACTGCAATTTATAAACTCACTCAAAAGAAAATCGATATAGGAAAAAAGGTGTTTCTTTTTAGTTAGACAACTAAAAATAGATAGCCAATGATTTTTAGCAAATATTTTGTGTTGATGCTTATAATGTTGAATATACAAACTAGCAAAAGTTAAAACCTCTTCATTTAATTATTGGAAACATCAACGAAAATGACACTTCTAAACTAAATGATAACACCAGTTAAACACAGTTTTACCCTCATTAGTGAAACAGAGTTTTTCCCCATTATGGTCGCTATCAAAAACTACTGTGCACCGCCCCAATTTTAATCCCGAGCATTTCACACTATATTTAAATTTTAATTAAAACGCTACCCAGCAAAAGCAATTCACATTCAAATAGTGGAAGTGCTGGCGCTAATCCCCACAAAAATACAGAGCGCCGAAATGGAGGCTAAAAACTAAAAACCAGAAGGCAAAGTGCTGGAAAAGCGGGACTAAGCACAGGTTAAACAACAGCGATGGCAACGAGAATCGTTTAACGAAACTGCAGTTGGCTTTTGGCGCGACTGCTCTTTGTACTCCGATATCTGTATTTGTAGTTGTATCTGTATCTGTATCTGTATCTGTATCTGGTTCTGTAACTGTGTATGCGTATCTCTGAATGTCTGTGGTTTGTGGCCAACTCCTGTGCGGATGGCCCTCGGCATTTGGCCACCGGCTGCGAACTGAGACCGGAGTCCTGTGTCCTGGGTCCTGTGACCCAGGACCTGCGACTCACCTCGCAAACGCATTGGGTTTTACAGTCCAATTTAAATGTGACTCCATGTGCGAATGTTGTGTTGCCAACGCTGCAATTGGCTGCAGGCGAGTAGGAAACCAAGACCATATCCCAATCCAGATGTTGCGTTGGCATCCATTGTTGTCACCGAAAAATAGTTGGGAAAATAGAAAACAGAAAATAGAAGAGTCAAACGAGCATGAAATAAGAACACTTTTCCAAGGCAAGCGGAAGGCGGAAGGCGAATTGAATTGCACAAGAACTCTTCGAAGGCAATGCGAACCTCAAACAATTCTTTGGCAATCAGTGCTCTGACTGGTTTATTATACATTCCATTTCGCATTGCCTTCATTCTTCACTGCTAATTTGTGTCATCAAATGCGTAATACATGTCGTATGTGCAACTCCAATGAATGGGAACCCAATTAATGTCAGTGCTGTTTGTTATAAATTTCGCTGGAATCGCATATTTACAACGCAAACAATAGACCTGCTGCCAGGCCACCGTTCGCCTCCGTGTCTCATCAAAATTGATATTGACAAATGCCTCTGCTTTATGGCATGCTATTAGCTGGCAAAAGTTTGTTTTTGCCTCCTTCTTTGTTTCACAGAGAGAAAAACTGTTTCAAGTTCTGCTTGTGCAAATTTCATGAAGATATATTATAATTATTGAGTTAGTTATTTTGAAACATCTACTACTATACTCATTATACAAAATAATTATTATGAATACAATAAAAAAAAAAAATAAATTATGAAAGTATAAAAAGTGATGTTCGAATTTGTTCATATAAATATTTAAGATCTAAGATCTAGTTGTTCTATTTTTACATAAAACAAGTATAATACTTTGTATTGGTATATTCCTACTATAATAATTGTTAACAAGTAATGATTATTGATACCTTTAAAAATATACTTTTCATTAAACTATAATTTAACCATTTCAATTTTTCACACTTAAATTCCCAAATCAACTTTTCATATTTAAACATAAGATGTAAGTAAATTCTTTTCTGATGATTTTCAGCCATATTAAGTGTAATTTAGATAAAATATATTATTTTAATGAGTTCTTAGATATTTTTTTGTGTGTCCTTTGGCTGTTACTGTTCCTGTTTTTCCCTTTGTGCTGGTCCTTGTTTTGGCCTAACCAAAAACTCGCATGTGTAGATGCCAATCACAATTACTGGGGCTTGTGGCGGGGCATTTGCAATCGCACTGTGGCGCTGAATTTGGCCCATGGATACGGGAGCACCGACCGGGAGAGGATCCCCTCCCGCTGCTGCTTTTGTGTGCAAGGGGATCGGGTACGTGTCCTGTACTTTTCCACTTTGAATTGATTTCGCTGGCAACGTGACTGCTGCGGAAGGACGAGAGGAACGTGTGCCCCCGCCTCCTTGGGCATCATCATTCATTTGGCATCAATGGTTAATGCGAAAATTGCCATTGCTGGCTGATTGTAATGAATATGGTCACGTTGTCGCATCTTTATGACATTAGCAATCTACGTTTATTATTGAAAAGCTTCTAGAGAACGACGGACAAAGCCGGAAGTATCTACGTGCATCGCACCCTTCACTCCGGCAATGTCGTGTCGTTTTCCAAAGTGCAATCTTCTTAATGTGTTTTTCCTCTCTCACAAGCAGACGTCTGCATTGAACTCACCCACTTCCACTTTGGTGGGAAGGATGAGCGTGCCCCCCAAGACAATGACATTTTGGAATATACACCTGTGCGGATGCTTTTCAAGGAATCGCATTTCCAAACAAAAACGAGGAAAACAGAATTGTTATTGAACCTTTGGAAGAAGTACAAATACGCTGAGCTCTTAGTCTAATTCTAAGAACATTAAGAAACACATTATTGAGAAATATTTTAACGCTATTCAAACCAATTCATCTAAGTAGGAGAACAAAATCACGGAAAATGTTTTTCAACCGTTTTTTTTAAGTTTTTCTGACTTTTTTTAAATATCAAAATACCGAAATATTTTTTCTTATAAAGAATAAAACCTTAAAATTTTTTTTAATTTTGATTGTGTCTAAAATAATAAGCTTTTCCCTAACTAATAACTAGAAGCACTATGATATTATATTCAGTAAGTGAGTTTATAGTTCATAACAAATCTTTTTTAAAACCATTTTAAACCTAATTCTTTTTAGATAAAAATAGCAAGTTTAATACAAATGTGCTTTGGTGTACATTTTCACTCTCATTTTCTACACAAAAATAAATATGTTAACTTGTGGATCGCCACTAATTCCCCATACCCGTTTCAGAGAAAGCCATCCGGAAGTGAATGCTGGAATATGCGATGGCAACGCTTTTATCTGCCGCTCCTGACAACATTTAGGGCTCTCAGCTGCTCGGGAAAGCGCACTCGAGAATTCCTCTATGTCTGCCAAGGTGTATAAATAATACACACACATTTTCCTGCTTACACTCGATGTCGTGCCTTTCGAAATGAACTCGTGGCCCGTCGTCTACCCTTTCTGATGGCGTGGCACATTTTTTGCGACCCCGTGTCCCTTTGTTGGGGTCATCATCACCGACCCCTTGCCCCGCCCCCTCCGCCTCCTTGCGCCCTATTTGGGGTCACGTGTGCGCAGTTTATTTGTTTTATGCGGCCTCTGTAAGGCCCTGTCTTTGGACTCGTCCCTCCTTTGGCTGTACGGAGTGTTTGTTTTACTTAGAGTTTTAGATTTACTTAAGTCGTTGATGACCATGACCAAATAAAGTTTCATTTTGTGCAAAGATTTACAGCACTCGAGCGTGCGCGACAAGTTTTGAGTGCCCTCCGCCGTTGGCCCTGCAGCGGATCATGGAAAGGACTACGGCAAAAGCCAGTCGAACAAAAGTTGCGAAAGAACGCTTCCAGCTGCAGCCCATGCTGCGTATGCGCAATTTTTGTTGCTCGAGTGTTTGCTTGGGACGTCATGTGATTGAGGGCTGAGTACTCTGCCCAATTCTACTTCACAAACTAAAGCCTGCTCTAAAGATTGCCAATGGCCCTAGGATATGTTTAAACACACTTGGCAGAGATTGCTGAACGAAATCCAAAGGTACGAACGAGTGTTAACAAGTTTAACAAGCTCGAAAAAGCTTAGCAAGAATTCTAGTAGATAAATGGGAATTAAAGTTTTGATGGGAAGATTAAATTCAAATCTTACAAGGAATATTAAGGAATATTTAACTTTCAAAGCTTTTATTTTTATCTTACCATCAGCATTCTAATATAATAATTTAACTAAGGCATCAAAAGTTACAGAATTAAAAAAACTCGATTTAAATAAAACTGTATTTTTTAAAAGTAGTTGCTAAGTTTTCAAATAAAAATTTTGTTTATTCACTACCTGAATATTGGTACAGAAAATACGAATCATTCAAAAGAAGCATACATAAATCTCAATTTTTATGATTGCACGTAAGTTGTGAAAAGTGGCTTTCCCCCGTAAGTTAACTTTGAAAAAGTTTCCTTTTATACGACTTGGCCCTTCTCTGGCGTAGTCTGCAAATGATATGTTCCGACTAATCTTTGCAGCTCATTCGGAGTGAACTTTCTGGTTCTTGGCTTGTTTGTGAGAACTCTTCATTGCTTCACGTATTCGCAAATATGTTGGGCCAAGTTCGCAGCGTCTCGGCATTTTTCGTGTTCCGATAACTTTCGAATAAAGACCAAGTTCTACAGTTTAAATAAACTTGTTCTGCAATGCCTGGACAATGGATTCTGGACCTAAGCGTTTTGACTCTGCACAGAAGAAAAAATCACTGATATTTTTATTTTCAAGAAATCAATGAAAAAATTTTCTAATGGAAAATGAATATTTGAGCTAAGCCCAAGAATACATAATAGTAAAATTCAGTTTTTAAATCTAAACATTGCTTTAACTTTTCGCATTGAATACATTTTTAAACCATATTTTATGAAATATTAAATTTATTAGTTAAACAAATAGTTTACTTAATTAATTAAATAATTAAATATTGGCAAAGTTTAGAAAATGTTTTTTTCTCCTTTTTATAAGCAATTTTAAAGGATTCTTTTATTATCTCTTTAAATGTTGATAAGAGATTAACACCGCAGCTGTTTTTATTGAATATCTGAAAGGATTGCACTCACTTGGTAAGGGAATTCGGAAATGTTTGGGCTTGGTGTTCGGTAATTCCATATTTTTTGCATGTGTGAATGCCAGACAAACGTGTGGGGCATTGATATGGGCCCGGAGCAGAACCAGTCGGAGGACTACGTGCCAGGCCCCGGAGCTCAGCTCAGCTTGGCCGGCTAACTTTTATTTTGGTTTTGGCCAGGCACAAGCTGTATTGGCATTTGACTCAAAACTTTTGACTCGAAACGGGGTTCGGGGAATAAGGGCCAATATAATACTCGTATATAAAAGTGTATATGCAGCTATTCTGGCAGCTCGATGTGGGTTGGATATGTTGTAACACCCTAGGAGCGAAAAGTTTTTGGCACAGTTCGGACTACTGCTGTTTAATTTTGAACAGCTTTCTACGACATCGTGTGGGGGCTGCACGGAAAGCATAAAGGCCAGAGAAAGAGCATGGAAAATGGCACATGTCGAAGCGAATTGAACACACTGACCCCTCCCAAACAGGGGGAGGGAAAAATGGAAAACGGAAAATGAAGAAAACGAATCGAACATAAAACCATTAAAATCACTTTACTCGTTAGTTAGGCGTTCGAGCTGGTGTGCGTGTGGCTGTTTCCCAGGAGATGGAATCTGCTAAGCCGGGATCTACTGGATATAGGTGCACAATAAATGTTCGGAAACGGGTCCACAACTTTGGCAAGAGCGGCAGAGGCATTGAGGACAACAAAAAACATTTCCTGTCTGCAAGTTTTAATGAAATTTTTGGCCCTTCGATTATGTCCGTCTATTTTGTTTTTCTTTTTTCTCTTCACGGCAAAAGAAGCTTCAGAATTTTAGCAATTTAGATAAAATTATAGGTCTTGCAAACAATTAATGATGTGTAAAAAAATAAATACAAAATATCGAACTTAAATTGCTTACGAATGTTATACAAATTTTCATTTTTTTCCACTTCTTTGTTGAAGCAAATTAAGCCTGTTTGCTTATATATTTTAAACTACATTCCATAGCGTTATTTTTGTACAATTAAAGTGACAAAGTGAACTATCCAGTTTGAAGTTCTTTTTCTTTTATAGACTTCAGCTAGGAAATGCACTTAAAAAAACCATCTCCGTAAGTCCCACTTGATGGTGATGATGATGATGACAGGGCAGGCCTTTGATTAATGAAGCCCACAGTAAATGTAATTCGTAAATCTGCTTTCCCGAACGAATTGCAAATACCCATCGAGTTCGTGCAATTCAATTGGAATCGTGAAGCCTGGCGAAATCCTAAGGAACTTACCCGGATTGGGATGCCTGGGCAACTGATCCACGGATTGCATAATTAAGGAAAGAGCATTAATGGCATTCATAAAGATTTTCATGGCTGCTTCGTTATTGTTCAAAAACTCACTTTGATGGCCTTAAAGCCCAGACTGAGACTCGCCTCGACTTCAGCAACGAGACCATTACCAAAAATACCGAGCAGCGGCAGCAGTATCAGCATTTTCTGTAAGCAGATAGAACAGATTATTTGGTGGGTGGAAGGAAGGCAGAAATAAGGTAAAAAAGGTCAAAGCCGTCGCCGTCGACTTTATTAAGGTCAATTCAATGTCTGGCTCGGTTTTCGGTTACGGCTAATGGTTACGACTACGGCCATGGTTACGGCTTTTCCCGTCCTCCGCCCAAGTTTGTGTTCTGAATTTCGGTTCGAGTTTTCCTTGCCTTCTTTACACTTTTCACGGATTTTCACACCTGCACCCACCTTTAATATTTGCACGAATTATTTTTTTCACAGGCAGCAGACGAAGTTTTTTTATTTATTTCTCTTTTTTTTTTGTTGGAGAGCGAGCAATGTTGTAATTAATCTGGTTACTGGGATAAGAAGCTCAATGAACAGGTGCTTGTAAAAGTTCTGGCTAGTTTTTATATTGGTTTTTATGCAGGCCTTTCGGACAAGGTTACGGTCTATATCTTGTTAATTTGCATTTGCCTGTTAAGGTCAGAGCGCAGTAAGATAAATCAAAATGTCGGAAACAATTTCAGCAGAATAATAAAAGCCGACCTTGCCAGCGGTAAAAACGCGCAAAAAGAAGTTATATAAATTTACATAAATTAAACTCAAATTTAATACAATCTGTAAGTTCTTTAACAATATTTAAGTTAAACAATTGCAGTAATTATTTAATTATCGTTAGAAAAATATTATTATTAAAAATATAAATATAAATAAAAGCACATGCCATTTAATTAATTATTTGCTTCCCTCTGAATTGTCATTTCGCAAAGACATATAATCGCAGTTTGTATTTAAACAATGCCCAGCTCAATTATACTGCTAATTGATTTCGATTGGCAGGCAAACCGAATGGCGGAAGTTACATTTTCCCAGAGGAAGCTGCAATTGATGCGGATGAGCACATTTAATAATTTCCCCTTGTTCCTCTGGGCTTAAGCCGCCCCAAAGTCGCCCGCATTTTCGCACTTTGGCGTTAAATGAAAAATGTGAAAAGCGATATATTTATGGAGGATCTCTTACGTCTGGGAGTGGTAATTATTTCATGGGCTGGTTGTGTTCGCCCGCCTTTGTTTGCAATCAATTTACGCGCTAAGAACACGCATACGCCGTGTTGCCAACGTCGCGGCGGCTTGTTTTTCATTTCGCGCACAAAAGGCGAAAAAGCTCATTAAAAAATATTTCCCACTCATGCGTGAGCATTTTAAAAAGGTATTTAATTAAACTTTAATAACAAAAACAATAAGCGGTCGGCTACAAAGTGGAGGAGCAAAGCGGCGGACGGCGAACGGCGGATGGTTTAATGCGAAAGATTTCAATTAACGAGACGGACCTCGTGAGCTGCTAAGTGGATAAACAGACCGAGGACATCGGCAGGGCGACGGATGAGTGGCCATCGCTCACACTCAACTCATGTGGAAGGCTCGCCCGCTCGGATGCAGAAGGACTGCATCAATGGACTCCATTGAATGCGGCTTCATTAAGGTGGCGCTCCAAGGAGCTATCCCCAGGTCCTTGTCGTAATTATCGCAATTACAATGAACGATGACGATGGAAATGTAAATGCAAATGGGAAAGGTAATGGGAATGGAATCGAAACGGAAATGGAAGTGGATGTGGAAGTGGACATGGAGACTTCTGTGGGAGAGGACAGTCAACAATAATAAAAGCCAACGAGGCGCATGAGAGCAGTAAACAAAGGAGGAGCACCGGAATCACAGGTCCTAGAAGAACCCTTTAATGTACGAATCCTCGGATATGGCTAGGAGGCTGCACATCTCTGATCTGTTAATTGCGAGGCGAATGTGGGCCAAGCAACACACATTGCCACATGTTGCTCGCCGCCTTGAATGGAAAAGTGGGAAAAGTGCAAGGAAAAAGGAGCAAAACAAGGGAAAACCCGGTAAAAACCCATCCATTTACCCGGCCATCCATCCATCCTGCTGTCTGCTTTGTGTTTATAATTATGATGAAAGGGGAGGCTGAAAAGCTGGAGGAAACTGATGGAAGCTGGAGGAAACTGGAGGAAGCCCAACTATTCAGCTTTAGGCGATCCGGGACAAAATGTGTGTGTCACTTCGGAAATGGGGAGGTCCGTTTAAAAATGTTTCCCACAGAATCCTGATGATTTCAAAACAGAACAGGATGGAACAACTCTGGGGAGCTATATCATTAAATTTAATGAATAGATAACAACAAAGACGGAACTTGCCGAAGAGAAAACCCGAAAATTATGCAGCAAAAAGTTTGACCCACTGAAAAGTGCCGGAAAGTGCTGCAGAAATCTGACCTCAAGTTGAGCCTTTGCTGACAGGATTTTATGAGCTCTTTAAATGGCCATTTACCCGTGAATTGATTAATGATCCGCCCGACAAACTCCCCCTCATAATTCGACGGCTTTAAGCGCTTTTAAGCCATGTTTGGCCGCCGGAATATGTTTACTTTTGGTTTGGTTTGGTTTGGTTTGGCCCGGCCAATGAAATTAATGATATTGTTAAGCCATTTTAAACGAGCCAACAAATTAATCTTGTTTAATTTTTGAAGTCGAGCATAATGGTACCGGCATTAGCGGCTGATGCCCTATTTTAATGTCTCACTCCCAAGTGAAAATCAGTAAAAATCCGGATTCCTCGGGGGCAAAGCTGATTGTTTGACTGCTCATCATTCATAAGCCGTGGTATCTGCGTGTGTTAGCGGGTGTATTGCAACGTTAGCATCTTATTATTCAGAGCACACACGATGCCAACAACCGCTGTCAGCGATGACAACACTGGCATTCGTGTCATAATGATGATGATGGCGATGATCATCATCATCGCCATGTTGATGCCGCTTTTCGGGATGATAACAACGCGTGACAACAATGCTGACACATCGAAAGATTGTCATTCCATCAATTATTCAGGAACACGCAAATCATCAACAAAACGCTCAGCATTCAAGGAGTCATCGGCCCGACCTCTAACCTCCAGCCCACCACTGCAAATGGATCAAAACCAGGCAACGTCAACATGCAACATACACAAATAAAAATAAATATAAATATATAATACAATAAATACAATAAAATTTCTATAAACTAAAAAGCAGAAATTCGTTTTAGGATAATAATAGGTACAATATACATTATTTTCTCTGCTGAAATATTATATAATAATTACCATTTTAGCTACTAATTTTTATAAGATTGATAAAACAATTTTTAATGTTTATTTCACCAGACAAACATGTTTTGCCAGAGATTCTGTTATATGGTATATAATAATACTTTTATACTTTTTCTCTCTGTAAACAAATGGGGCAGGAGTCTACAAATATTAAGTGATACAATTTGTATTTGGTAGGAGGGCTTTTGCCGCAGGCTCTACTCAATGAACAACAACAATTGAGGGCGTGCTGAGTCCAAAACAACAAGAAAAAAAATAGAAGGAATCATTGGCATGAATATCTGAGTGTTTTTATTTATGACTGCGCGTCAATATCCTGTCAGACTAGGATTGAGACTAGGAATGAAAGGGGGAGGGCTTAGACTGCTCTTTGACCCGACTAGAACAGAAATCAATCAACTCTGGGCCCAAACGGGAAAACTAACAACTAGAAGAGGGCTGAGTAACGAGTTGGTGGATGTGGATGTGGATGTGGAGAAGGTATCTGAAGGATGCGAAGTGCTCATGGAGCTATAAATCCGAGCTTGACACGGTTAAGTGTTGGTGCTTAACAAAGGCTTACTGCCAGAACAGGAAGAATAGGGAAAAGGGGGAAGGGGAGAAGTCCTGCGATACAAATCATAATCAATCTGAAGGCAAACAAGAAAGAGAAATTTGCCTACAACTCAAGACCTCATCCGTTTGTGCTAGTTGAAAAACCCTTTTATCATGCTGCGAATCACTTAACGTAGCGTAAATTTCATTTGCAGCTAATTGAAATTCATTCGGGCGAAATCTAATTAAGTCAAAAGTATATCCTGTCGCCAGAGGTACGTGTCCTTCCAAGCAACAAAGTCTGGCGCAAAGTGATTCATTCATTGCGATAAATTAAGACGGCTCAGGACTCTGAGTACTTCCTTCCAGCCTCCCAGGGGACATATTTTCGTTCACATTCACATTCACGTCCTGATATAAATATCCTGACTGCGAACGTGTCGTGTCCAATGAATATCAACAGTTTGCCTCGGCCTCCCTATTTTTTGACAACTTTCGTAGCGATTTGTTTAGCCAAATCATCAGCATAAAAAGAGGAAAAACTCAATTACAAAATATCAGAAAATCGCAAACAAATAAATTAAGGATACAAATGTGGCTAAGGACTGCGGCAAACTCGGCTCAAATCGAAATGAAATAGTGACACAGGCCAAAGGCAAATACAAAGCCGCACAAAAGGAAAAAGGTTAAGCCAAATATTTATCCAGCCGCCCAAGGAGTTGGGCGATGGCTCAAGGGGAAGGGGAAGTGCAGGAGGGGGAGTCCTTTTCCGTAGTCTGTATGTAATTACCAGGCAAGGACTGCAAGTACAGCTGTGCCTAAGTACATAGATCCCAACGCACACACTAAAGGACAGAAGATCTACACAGAGCACAAATACCTCAATTAAAACTATTTCTTTCAGTTTTATTTAAGTAAATCCTCAACCTTGGTAATAACTTTAAAAATAGAGTTCCATTTAAATGGATTATGGATTAATGGATTGCTTGATTATTAGCTACTATAGTTAGTATAAATTATAAAATTAGCTATCTTTGAAAAACTTCAGATGTTAAATACCATTAGTCTTACATACCTTTGATATCTACAACCCCTTATAGTAAGCATTTTAAATTCAATATATTTTTTTTTTAATAAATAAATATAGTTGCTTGGAGCCTTTTTTATTGTAAGCGTGAAATATATTTTGTTTTTCCTATCAATTGACCATAGTTTTAAAGATTTTTCCAGTGTTGGGATTGGCATGTGTGTGTTACGGCGTACGTGGCTTTATGCTTAAATAAACATTTGTCCGGCCTTTCGTCCTGCTCCTTGGGCCACCGTCTTTGCCCCGTTTACATAGCGCCCAGCAGGCTGGCAGAGGCAGTCAGGCAGTCAGTCAGTTTTGCCGGTCAAAGCCAAATCGTTGATTGCATAAGTTGATGGCCGACACATGTCCGAGATATATAGTGTCGATATAGTCTGTGTTTGTCTGTGGGCGCAAAGGCCCCGGGTTACTCACGTGTGGTTGCTATTCACGTCTAATGATGTCTGTGCAGGTTGCATTGGCTGCTCCTGCTCCTGCTCCAAGGATCCACCTCCTCCTGCTGCTCGAGTGACCTGCAAGGGAAAATGAAATTTATATTGCGAGTTGCTGCACACTGATTGCTTTATTGAGATGCTCGGATAGAGATCTCCTGGACTCATCATGGATTAGAGACTGTGGACTGTGTATCGGCAAATTGCCCGAATGCAACATTCATTTGAAGTTTCTCTGAAGATTTTAATTGACTTTTTGCGGCGCAATCAATTGTCTAATATACTTGACAGACAATTGAAATTTTCAAAGCGTAGCAGAAGAACAAAATTAATTTAATTGGAGCGAACTAAAATCTCTCCAGACAAAAAGAATAAATAAAAGATCTCTAGAAATCTGTGCAATGACCCAACGGAATATGCTCCATTTATAAAGTCTTAAAGTCAGCCGACTGTGCTGATTTTTTTTTATTTTTCATAAGAGTTTCATCAAATCAATTACTCAAATTTTTCTTCAATAAAATCAGCTTATAATTTAAAATTTATATTGGAAATGGCACAACAAAACACAGATATCTCATACATACTTAAATTCTCAACACTTAAGTCTTCTGGTGCATAAAGAACTTATTTAAAACTTTTTGAAGGTTTTAATGAAAAACGTTTGTGGTCATCTCTGCAGTCAATCAATAATCAATTTAATATTTCAGTATGTGGTCATGCAAAATTGTCATATTAATTAAGCAAGCCAAAAAATGCATGGTTATAATAATAAATAAATTATTTCTCAGGAAAACGTAAGCTTTTAGAGATTTGTGCGTGTTTTGTGAGATGTTATTTAATATTTTAAATGTAGGCTAAACTTTACTCTCAATCAACAGAATATACAAATTGCTCAAGCAAAATTGGCAAATTGGATTTCCCCAAGGCAACCAAAACACGAATCAGTTTTATTAAGGGGTTATATACCTTTTTTTTTTTTCAAAAAAAAAGAAAATTTTTTTTTTGCTGAATCCTAAAGTATATCCCCTAGAGAACATTTTCCCAAATTTTTGAAGAGATCCGAATAATAGTTCGATAGGAAAACAGCGTTTTGAAGCGCGGTTCGTCACTTTTGTAACGCAACGTAAAACTTTGAATGCGATTATCTCAAAGTCGTTTTTTTCCAAAAGTGCCTTTGCTGTGACCGCGATTGCACAAGAACTATTTGATCGATCTTCTTCAATTTTTTTTTAAATATTCGTAATGATTGTGCCGAGTTCGTCATTGAATCAGTTTTTATGCGCCAATTTCGATTTTGCAGATAAGAATTTTTTAATAAAATTTTTAGATCTCGAAAAATCAACTTTTTGGAAAAATTGTTACTGTATGCAAAAAAAACCAAATATTCTTGAAGTAATTCAATGACGAACTAGAAATAATACTAAACTAATAAAAATTTTTTGGTTTATTGATCTCAGTTGACCCGCTGGACTTCCATCGTGGTCACCGCAAGCCGCTATAAAAAAAAAAGGGTTATGAGAGAATTGCCATAACTTCGGAAGTTATTTATATTTTTTTAAGAACAAACGTTTGTTGTGTCTATAAAAACATGTACTATCAATAAATAATAACCTCAGTATCATAAAATAATTGCTACACACCTGAAAAAAATCCAAAGTTCCCTAATTTTTTTCGCTCAAAAAGGTATATAACCCCTTAACCAACGAAGAAATCGAGATATTATTAACAGTTGAAATAAACAAAGAACAGGCCATAAAGCAGATCGAAGTCATCGAAACATTTTTAATAAATTGTTATTTCTGCCTTTTATTCATACTTCCTGATGCCGTTTCCTCGATACTTTTGGTGTGTTTGTGTGTGGCAAGGTGTTTGTTATCGTTTGTTATATTGCTTGTTATGTAATGTAATTTATACACACCCATACCGAGAGAGAGATTCGAATACAATGTCATAAACGGCAAGGACACAAAGGCAATTCCGCATGGCATTACGGGCAGACAAAACAAATGGCAAAGGAAGACGGAGGAAGGAAGAAGGAGCCAAGGAGCGGGATGCGACTAAAAGCCAAAAAGTACGCGTTTGGCATAAATGATAAGCTGGCAACGCAGCAGGACATTCCCCCCTGCATGAATGTCCTGGTCATGGACCAGACATCTCCCCCGTTCCTTACCAAGTCCTTCGTCCTTTCCCCTTGTTCCCGTGTCTGCGTTTGTGTCTGTGCCTGCCTGTTTGACTTTTGAATACTTAACAGGATAATGAAATGTCAAAAGTGCGCAGGCGGCCCAGGAAAGTATATCCTGCTGGCCTGTCCTGCGGCACACCTCCCCTCTGCCCACTTTTGTCCTTCCTGTTCAGCCCATATTGATATTCCTCGGGCTGTTGTGGAGTTTTATTGTGTTGTCCATGCCTAAGTGAACGTCACGGCGTGCCGCGCGCATTAAATCATAACGAGGAAAAAGAAGGAGCCCCGCTGAAGGATAACCAAGAGGCAGGATATAATTTTTGTTTTTTAATTTTCATATACTCTTTTCAGTTTTTTACATTTTAAATGCGTGTTTCAACGCATATAAAGCGTTTATTAAAATTTTAATAATGTACCAGCTTAAATTATAAATTGATATTAATTTTAATTATTTCACAAAAGTTTAAATATTATCGTTTTTCAAGCGGTTTGCAGTAAAAAACGAATAGCAAGCTAAAGAAAAAGTTTTTTGTTTCTTTTTTTTTAAAATATACTTATTTCCCCACTAAAAATATTTTATATGTTGGCATTAAAAAATGAATAAAATATGAGATCAGTAAAAAACATATTTTTTTAATACCACCCACATCACTCATTTAAAGTACCACATTCACAAAAAAGAGTACCAAAAGCGAATGAAAAATGTGATATCCCAGTAAAAGGGACCACATCTCTCTCACGGAATGCTTGTCTTTTTTTTTTTTTTTGGTTGGCCATTTTATGTTTACATAAATTTAAATTGACACAAATGCGTTTTGGGTGCCCCGGCAAATAAAAAAGTCAAACCAGGAACCAAATGATAAACTTCATAAATTATGACAGTTTTATGCTCCACTCGGCGGTCGGTTTACGCTTTATTTATTTGTAGTGATTGCAAGTGAATTGAATATGTATTTATGCATTTCCATGCCATTACTGAATGAAAAACAAAGGGCAGGACAGGTAGATTTCCCATCCTCGAAACTTGCCTTTATCCCCAGAATAAAGCAGCTTTAATCAAGGCTACTTTTGTGGCAAGTTTTTGTGTGCGAGTGCGGAAGCCATTTGCCCTGCCAGTTATTCTGGGTATATCCATCGAGACTTCCACGCTTAACTCAAATTGCTGTTACTGTTCTTTTCCTTCTTTTGTTTTTGTATTTGTTGGGGAAAACAAGAGAAAGTTGTAATCAATAAAGTAAATGACCCAGGCACTTTAGGACGACCAGGGAACGTATACTGGGAAATAAGAGGCAGTGATAGTGAATGGGCCAAGTGTTGCTATGATTGATTTCCTTCAGTGGAGAAGGCGATTTGGAGTGAACAGACAAGATATGGTACTTATGGTAACATGAGGAAGTTGGCCAGATATTAGGCTAATCAATTTGGCTTGTGTTTCAATAACACATTAGCTATAGAAGAGCATTGAAAGCCAACGAAAGCTAATGTAAAATCGATGTCAATGAAATCACTAACCAATATTAAAGTTTAAAACATAAGTAATGATTGTAGGTTGTCTAAAAGACTTATTTATGTTTAAAATATTATTATGTTATTATGTTGCAGTTATCAAATACTTATATCCCAGCTTACAAGCTACCTAAAAATATCTTTCCAATGACCAGCCCACACTCATTGTTAACATTTTTATTAATTAAGAAAATGGACTAAAGGTAAAATACCCACTCACACACGCATAATTGATTAATTTGGCTCTTTTGTAAGCAGGCAACATTTATTTGGCCCTTCGCTCGAGTTCCACTTCATTTTGTTAATGAACTTGGAAAAGTCCCTTGAGAAGAAAAGCGTATTTTCGGCTTGAGTATAATTGAATCGAATTCAAATCAACGAAAACACAAGGCGGCCGCATTGCAAACACTCCAACAATGAGTTGTAAAATATTCAACGATAAATTTATGTGCGACTTGTTTAATGTACATACCGCCTATTGACTCTTTAGGCCAGCTTGCCAATTAGGCCCGGCTCGAGGGCCAAAAAACTACGAACAATGGGTAAGAAGCAGAACAAGCAAACTTTGGCCACAATCTTAACAAGAAAATCTGTAAATTACACGCCACAATTACGGCAAGATGGGTGGTGGGGTGGCGGGATGGCAGGAAAGCCCCAAATATTTATACACCTAAATAGATTTGATGGCATAATTGAAATTTGTTGTTATTGGTCGGGGGCCATTCCGCTCAATATTTGTGTGTTTGCAATTTGCATAAATGCCAAATGGCAAATGGCGAATTGTGACACATTGCTGCGGGGTTTGTTAAGGAATGAACTATAGGATGGGCTGTCCTACGACGGCATTGTCCTGGGAGAAGTCCCAACTTTTCGCCGAGCCGAGCAACAATTTATTTTCTTCTTTTGATAATTTAACTTTTTTCTTTGCAGCTGAAAATTGGATTTGTTGCGACCGACTTTCAGACTTTCAACGCTTGTAACGAATGTTGAACAGCAGAAAAAGTTGTTTTTCTAATTGCAGTCGTAGCCTTTGGGGTCGGGGAAAATTTCGAGGCTGGGCAGATGGCTGCTGCCGGGGGCTATAATTTCGAACAACTTTATCAGGTTATTTAATATTCATTTGTTGAAGATTTCGCGTCGTTCTGAGCTCGGCTTTGTGCGGAGATATCAAAGAAATTAACAAAGACGACATATCTCGCAAAAAAATACACACAAAGAGGCCACAACAATTGGAATTGTGTGACTTTAAGTGGCATTCCAGCTAATAACGCAGATAAGCGCGAAAAACTTTCCTAAAACCCAAAAAGTTTTGAAGAGATAAAAGCCGATACTCGCCATCTGATTATCAGAAATTAAAATGGAATTTTCCAACTAGTTTAGATAATCTGATGAA